TGAAATTGCCCTGAAATTTGTCTCCCTACCTGGAAAGCTAAGGAAGCACAGCAGTAGTTCCCTGAGGTTTCAGCCAGCATCCTGAGATCTAGGCACAGCATTCTTGTTAAGGCTCTATGGGTCTGGGTTGGGTCAGCACCTGGATGGGAGACGGAATAGGAGCTGTTCTGCCAACTTGAGTTCAGTTGAATATAGGGCAGACAGTAAGTATCAGAAAAAATTAATGTATTCAGGAAGTCATTAATTAGGATAACACCTCAAAGTTGACAGCAATCCTCAAAGATGATGTTGAGACATTTCACCAGAAGTGACCATGTTGTTCATGTGAGGGAGAAGCAGTTATGCCCAACACTTCTTTCCATGAAAGGAACAATTTCATATATGAAGCAAGTCTCTCATTTGGGCAGTTGTCCAATCCAAGTTGTCCTTCACTCTCCTCTCAATGTATGTTCAAATCAGACATACTGTTGAGTGGGTGTTGGTGTGGTACAAAGTCATCTTCAAAAGAAGGGACTTTTCCCATTAATAAAAGCACTGCCACAGGCAGGGTCAGCTCAAAGCATCTCGCTCCTCCAACAGATTGAGAAGTTTCTCCTAATTCCACTATAGGGAATCCAGCCATACCAGTTTTTACACATCGCGTTTCCCCCAAAATAAGACACTGTCTTATATTTATTTTTCCTCACATAGACACACTATGGCTTATTTTCAGGGGATGACTTATTTTTATTACATACAGTATAACAATCTGTATTTATGGGATGATTTCTCTGGGCTAAGTAGCAGACTACCTGCTGAAGCTTTTCCCCCTATCTCTCGATGTTTGTGTGGGATGAGAGAGAACCACAGACTGTTGCTGGTCAGTGCTGGGGAGCAGCAGCTTTACTGGTGTTTGTGGGGGGTGAGAGAGACCCAGACTGTTGCTGGTTGGTACTGGGGGAGAGAGACCCACAGTTTTGAGAAAAACAGCAGCCACATCTTTACTTCCTCCTCCTGAGGACACACAATACCTAAAGCAGAACGTCCTGCTCCTCACTTCACTGAGGAGACTTTTACTTCCACTTTCTGTGTCTCCTTTTATGCCTCAGATTGCAGCACATATAGAACAACCGGAACCTGACCGGGGGACCTTGTACACTGCATAGCCATGCCTATAACCACGTCTTATATTGCATAAATGCTTAGAAATCCTGCTTTGGCTTACTTTATGGGTATGTCTTATTTTAGGGGAAACAGGGTAGTTGAGTTTCAAGACCAAAAAGAAGACACAATCTTTTGAGTTAGGAGGTGGCCACAGATCAGGTGTCAATACTCAATTTCTACCATCTGCCACTAAACATCTGTGGCCCGAAACAGGTGCCTCACAGGATCGGTCCTAGCCAAAGGAGAAGGGCTGAACCCTGAAGTTCAAAGCAACTTCAAATGTAATACTTCCCTAAGGAAGGGCATAGTTATTTTCACAGCAATCTGTATCTCCTAAAACTGAATTTTTGTGCATTACATGTGCTGAAAGTACACTCTGCCTCCAGACAAGACTGTATGAACTTACAGTGGGAAATGTTTTAAGCAATATTTTGAGCCAGTCTCCCTCTAACAAACTACTACTAGTTTTCTAGCAAATGCAAGCAACCCAGAAATCTGCACAAGGTTTATGTCCAAACTGATACTTATACATGTCATGGAAATTTAGCATATACATTTCTAGTTGTTTCTTTTTTTTTTAACTACAGACTAACTACAATTGTTGACCTCTTGAAACAGTACTTGACGTCAAAACATTTTGAAAGGCTGGCTTTGGAAGCCAGGGCAATCCACTTGATTCGGTCAAGTCAATACGCTTTGATTGCATCTGATTCAGCCAGGCTAGGAAAAACATTTGAAGAGACTATCATGTCACTTAGCAACAATGGCTTGGAGGTTTTCCCTCTATACAGGTAATCTTTAGCTGTCTACTGAAGAGCTTCCTTGAATCTGAAGAAACAGAAAATACAATGACTTATACTCTTATCTATGGTTGAAATCACCTATTACCAAACTTATCACTTAATCAAGTTTAAGTGCTTAACTGTATTTTAAGATAGGGATTTGTGTTTGTTGTGTCTTTGTATACTTGACTATTGTCTTTTACTGTTTTTTAAAAAAAATTGCAATGTGGTTTGTTATTTTTTATTTCTTTGAAGCAAAGATAACAATAAAACAATGTTATGATTCAAACTCAGAAGGATGATAGGGACAATGTTGGAAGGAATTGTAAGGAGGGAGGTAGCTATAAATGAATATAACTATTATGGTCTTTAGAAGAGGAACCTGAAGTCTCCGGTATAAGTAAACAAAATTAAAAGCTGAAGTTGACATCTTGAATAGAAGCCTATACTGTGGACTCTCTCTTACTGTTCAAGCATGCTACTGTTTGAATGCTCACACCTACTTCTAATTTTCTTAGAATCAAGAGTAAACAAAACTGTAGCATCGCCAAGAGACTAGTTAATGTAAATAGTCCTTTACTGTTGATATGGTCAGAGGACTAATCAATAAATAAATCTATCTAACTCTATCTCTGGCAATACAGAGTTTGAGGGCAATAAACTTTCAAGTGGGGAAGGATAAATTCCAAATGAAATAGAGGTGTCTAAAACTGTAACAAAGATGTGATTCCATAGCCTTTGTTGAAATCAAAGTTGAAGTCAGTGTTATGAAACCTCAATTTAGGAATTTATCTGAGAACTAGACCATTTCTTAGGAAGTCTGACCCTGAATGCATCCTTGAAAGATTAAGACATGTGATGCATGGAGCAAATATATTTGCCAAAAATAATTTTATCTCGGTCCCCCCCCCCCCCATCTTACAAAAAGTCAGATCAAGTGTGGACAGTTGCAACCATACCTTGGTAAGTCAGACTTGTCCACGGTGGTCCATGCTCTTGTTACATCCCGAATAGACTACTGCAACACACTCTACGTGGGGTTGCCTTTGAAGACTGTTCGGAAACTTCAAGTGGTCCGACCGGCGGCAGCAGGCTGCTCACTGGAGCATTAGCTCCACTGGCTGCCAGTCTGCTACCAAGCACAATTCAAAGCCCTAAACAGTTCCAGCCCAACTTACCTGTCCAAACGTATCTCCCTCTATGATACACCTCAGAGGGTAAGATCATTGGGGGAGGCCCTGCTCTCAGTCCCACCCTTTTCGCAAGCACGACTGGTGGGATGAGAGACAGGGCATTTTCAGTGGTGGCCTCTCATCTGTGGAACTCCCTCCCCAATGAAGTCAAATCAGCTCCCTCTCTCCTGACCTTCAGGAAAGAAAACTTGAGACATGGCTTTGGGTCCAAGCGTTTGACCAGTAATTGGAGCAGTGCAATAAATGATCATGAATTAATGTGAATGACAGATGTAACAGCCCTGGATCATGATTTGGATTGTGTGATTTTAATTGATGTTTTAATTGCTTGGATTTTAATTGTAATTGCTTATTTTATGGATATATATGTGTATGGCATCAAATTGCTGCCTGTTGTAAGGCTGCCCTGAATCCCCTTCAGAGTGAGAAGACCAGGGTAAAAATGTGGTAAATAACTGCTGCTCACATTTTCACTCAATAACTTGATCCTGGTGGAGTCGTATGAAGAGGTGACCCATTCAAATCAAAACAGTGTAACTTGGTAACGACTCATATAGATGAAATCAATGGAACTTCTCTAATTATGGCCAAGTCTGGCTCCAACCTTATATCCTATACTTCTGAGTAAAAATATAATAAGTAATTAATATCAATACACATTTAATTGCAAAGCTAGATTTAAGCTTAATGAAGGAAGGGGATGCCAATCTGTGTTTTGGGAGCATCTTTCAGAAAGGATAGCCATTCTTAGGCCCCACTTCTCCCATTAATGACAACCATTGATTGGACTGGCTGGTCCTTTAGTATCTTCCAACTCCATGAACTGTATGAAACAATCTTATATTCCCTATACCCATGTAGCCATTTCCACTATACCTCCATAATGAATTGATCAGACTGCAGACAACAGAAGGAACACAGTGAATATAGATACTGGCCACTTAAAGTATGGAAACATGTACAGGCAAATGTTACCATCTTATGAGCAGCATGCTGGATTATCACAGGATGTCTATGCCCCACACCACTGGAGAAATTATATTGTTTAGCTGATATTGATTAGCCTGTCATCTGCCAGGAAGTAGCAGCCAATAATGAAAGGACCAAGGTAGTGACATCTCTGGACCATCCCCTATTTGGATATCAGCCAGCACACCAATGCCTTAAATCAAGAAATATTTTTTCTAAGATCTATAGAGATACTTGCAGGAACACCTCAGCAAGCGAGAGTCCAAAAGTGGCAGGCTAAAACCTGGAACCTCAAGCCATGGCTGATACTGGATGAGAGACTCCCTCCTGGGCACGCAGAAGACTGGGCGACTTGGAAGGCACTGAGATGCAGAGCCAACCTTAAGAAATGGGGCCACAAAGTAGAGTTCACAATATACGACTGTGGAGAAGAGCAAACCACAGACCACTTATTACAATGCAGTCTGAGCCCTGCCACATGCACAATGGAGGACCTCCTGATAGCAACACCAGTGGCACTCCAAGCGGACAGCTACTGGTCAAAGGACTTTTGGTATAATGCAAAGTTTTTAACTTTTTTGCGTTTTAAAAAAAATACATTACAACTGTACACTCGGTTCGCTTCTGATATAAATAAATAAATAAATAAATTAGTGGCATGGCCTTAGTGTACAATAGGAAATTTTAACTGCTTGGAAAGAACATTTCCTTTAACAAAATGTCGACAAGGCTTTGGATCACATGAAGGAATTTCCACTGTATCAAGAAACCTATCTCAGGATAGTAGCCTTTGATATACAAATCAGCTGCTGCTCTTTGGCCACAGCACATTGTGAATGCTTTTATTTGTTTATTTATTACAAAAGTAATTGTCTATTGTAGACCATTTGAGTGAGAATAAGGACAAGTCAAGTGCATTGCTAGGAGTTTATTCTGAAGCTTTGCTTTAAGTCTTTATCACAAAAGACAGTTTATGTTGCAAGGAGTTACTAGAAACTGAGATGGATTTCATAAATTCCTACTATTATAAAAGTAGAGCACAGGAGACTGTTCTGAGCCATCTTCAAAAAGCAGACCATTATTTTTGTATATAAACTGTACACAAAAAAAAACCAAGGCACTATACATTTTTGGGATTATTAAAGATGGATTCAGAGAGAGTTTCCCAAGAAAACCCGTGTGACAATGCTTTGTTCAGCACTGAGACCAAGTTATTGACTATTAAGAAGAGAAATCGTTCACAATAAGAGAGAGAGAGAGAGAGAGAGAGAGATCACACAAACACACATTGGTGGTTTAACTAGTCCGGAACAAGCAACCCCAATGTCCCACTACTTTTCTTTCCAAAAGACACCTTGAAAGTGAATACTACACATTGCATTGTTAAATACACCCTTGTTCTGTGTGTTTTTATATAAATATAAATTCTTTTTGAAAATCCACAGCTTTAACAAAATAACACTTTACAAAGGGAACATCTCCAAAACCCAAAATGGCAAGTAGTGTTCGTAGCCCAAAGACGCGTTGCAGCAGCGGTCTGAGAAACTTACCACTAAAAGTACGAAGAAGAACATGATTCATAAACATGGCCAAACATTCAAGCCCCCCGCCCTCCTCACCCCCCCGAAAAGAGTTCACCAGAGAGTCCTCACATACATTTACAATATTACTTGGCATTAGAACAGACGGTAATGCATTGGATTTAGTTTGTTGTGCTGCTGCTCGTTCCAAGAGGTGTTGAAAATGTCGGCAGATTCCACTGTAGGGTTAGCCCTTGATTGCAACCAACACGCTGCTTAGAAAAGTCCTTTTGCCTTTTTGAGGTTCACCTGTTTCCAGGAAGGCAGTGCATTGTATTCTTCTCTTGTCATCTGTAATGCAGTCTGGTTCAAAACAGAAAGAAAATGCTGACAGTTATTACAATGAATGTACCGTATATACTTGAGTATAAGTCGAGTTTTTCAGCCCTTTTTAAGGGTGTAAAGCCCCCCTCAGCTTATATTAAGGTATATTAATAATAATAATAATAATAATAATAATAATAATAACTACTCTAGACTGGGGTCTTTCCCACTTTTCCCTGCCCCCCTTCCCATCCCAACTTTCCCTAGTTTCTAGTCACCTTTTCACACCTCAGTCATTCCCCCTTCCCCAGCTGCCCCCTTCCCACCCCAATCTGTCCTACTTTTCCACCTAATTTTCTCACTTTTTCAGCCACCTCTTCCCATTCCAACCTTTTTCCATTTCCAGTCCTTCTTTTCTTCCCCTTTCCCAAGCCAGTCTGTCCCAATTTTCCTTATTCATATACACACAGCATTTTCCCCAAAATGTATATCATAGTTAAAATAAACTATGGTGATTATTGCATTATTGTTGTTGTTACATTTATTATTTTACTCTATGTGTTATTGTTGCTGTTGTTGGTCGTGTCAGGAGCAACTTGAGAAACTATAAGTCGATTCTGGTGTGAGAGAATTGGCCATCTGCAAGGACGTCGCCCAGGGAATGCCTGGATGATTTGATGTTTTTATCATCCTTGTGGGAGGCTTCTCTCATGTCCCCGCATGAGGAGCTGGAGCTAATAGAGGGTGCTCATCCGCCTCTCCCCGGATTCGAACCTGTGCCAGCACAGGGGTTTAACCCACTGTGCCACCGGGAGCTCCATTGTTGTTGCTACAAATATTATTTCATTCTATTTATTTAATATTTTACTCTATATTATTGTTATTATTCAAAAACATTTAACCTACTGATGCCTCAATTAATGTAATTTTATTGGTATCTATTTTTATTTTTGAAATTTACTAGTAGCTGCTGCATACCAGCCTCAGCTTATACTTGAGTTAATAAGTTTTGCCAGATTTTATTTGGTAACATTAGGTCTCTCAGCTTATACTCGCATCGGCTTATACTCTAGTACAGTGGTTCTCAACCTGTGGGTCCCCAGGTGCTTTGGCCTACAATTCCCAGAAATCCCAGCCAGTTTACCAGCTGTTAGGATTTCTGGGAGTTGAAGGCCAAAACATCTGGGGATCCACAGGTAGAGAACCACTGCTTTAATATATATGGTATTAAAAGTATAAAACAGATTTTACTGAAGAAGAGAACTCCAAAACAATGTGAAGTTCAAGAAGCTCATCAACGTTTGTTCCCACTTACCTCAAAGTCTTCATCTGAAAGGTAGATTTCAAGATTTAAGGGGTCCACTCCCTCTGGGAGAGGCCTTGCTAGGAGATCAGCCAATGGGTACAGCTTTTTGCATAGTTTGGCCAGTACATCTTCTACAAGGATGATTTGATTAGAAGCTTCAGCATCCTAGAAATTGAAGAGAGGGCGTTTTTCATTGGGAGGCAGAATATTTCATCAGTTTCAAAACATGATTAGCCACATTTTGAGTAATACAGGTTAAGCATCTCTTATCCTGAACTCCAAAATACCTCAAAATCATCCACATGGGTGCAAACCAAAATCATCTTCCAGGGGCAAACCAACAATGGGCAACGTGGAAGTCCCCGAACAGACTCAGAAGTGGAGTTGGCCGATCAAAAGACAACCTGGCTAAATGGCACTACCTAGAAGAATTCTCCAGGTTGTGCGACTGTGGAGCAGAACAAATAACTCCGCACCTGTATGCTTGTCCACAAGGCCCAGCCTCATGTACAGATGAAGAACCGTTTAAAGCTAGAGACAATGCAGTCGCTGTTGCCCGTTTTTGGTCAAACTTTTTTAGTCCTTCTATTTTTATCAGTTTTCTACTTACTTATTTATGCAATGTTTTTTATAATAAATAAATAAATAAATAAATAAATAAATCAACATGGGTGGCTGAGATAATGATGGTTTGCTTTCTGATGGTTCAGTTTTCATTGGCGGGCAGATTCCAAGCATTTCAGATAAGGGATTACTCAAACTTGTTTAATGCACAAAACAGTTCAGAATATGTGTATAAGGTACACATAAATGTCATGTTTAGACTTGGGTCCCATCTCCAAGACACCTCACTATGGTGTCTTAGAGATAGCAAATACATCCCCCTTCCCCCAAACTGAAATACAGAACAGTTCTGGCACTATACATCTCAGATTAGAGATATTCAACTTGTATCTAATGCTCAGTCCAAAGATATCCATGGACAGGCCAATGGGTGAATTCTTCTCGATCTCAGGTCTTTTTATTTTATTAGCAATGAAAAAAATGGTAAGAATAATGCTTCTCTCAGTGCTCCCTTTTATGGATGATGGTCATCATCTTTGACCCATCCATATGATTTTCCTTTAGACAAGTCTACAATGTAATGTTCTCATAATGTAAAAATTGATTTTTACATCAAGAGGAGAACATTTCGTACACCGTCGTTTCATTTTAAGTCTTTGCATTTCTAAACAAAGTGATTTGTATTTTCAAGCTGGATCTGTTAAAAACTCTGGTTTTACATAAAGCAGGTTTCTATGGAACAGAGAAAGTACTGCTGCTGTCCCATTTTTCAGTCTGGACAATTGAAGAAATGCTTTAAGAAGAACTCTGTTTTTGAAATACTGGTATTAAAAGCATTCCTTGGACCTGAAAAAAATTGTGACGAATAGGTAATAAAACCTCTTTCAGAATTGTCCTCTGGCCATTATTTCAACCCTCCCTCTTTTTGAGATGACTGATGTGCTTTAGACCATTTAATAATCCTGGATTTTAGTGCTTTCTAATATCGTGGACTTGTCTTTCCAGCAGAGAACAGAAAACTAAGAAGTGATGAGAACAGTTCATTTACCATTTCAGTGATCTCAGCGATATCTTCTCTATGTTCCCAACTGGGAAACATATTTGTGAATGTCAGAGGCTCAAGCCCAGCATGAATTAGGTAAGATTTAGGAGGTTTCTTCACATTCTTTCCTATTTAGCCCAGGGGGAAAAAAAGCAATATTATTTTTAAAAACCAATATGCACAACCTTTCTTCATACCTACTTTGTTAATTACTGACTATTGAGGAAAAAAAAAGCTTCCTATTGAAATCCACTACGAACAAAGGTTCATTTTAGATATAACTCTAAGTTTAGGACTGGGAAGGACAGCTAGGAAGGATGTTCTTGACTTTCAAATCCAAAGTGAGAATCATCCTAGCCATATGTTTCCAATTTTTATATATGTTAGGAAAGAGGTACAATCAAGTAAACAAAGAGGGAGAAAATCAACTGGTTTAAAATATGGTACAGAAGGAGACATGTATGACATGGCCTACAAAAGACAAACAAGTGGGTTCAAGACCATACCAAGCCTACACTCTCTCTAGAAGTAAAAATGACTGAAGTGAAGCTTTCATATGGACCCATCATGAGTTGACATGATTCAATGGAGAAGAAAATACATAATGCTGGGAAAATGAAAGTAGGACAGGAGGAAGACCACACTCCTGTTGGATTGACTTAATAAAAAGAAATGGCCCAAATTTTGCAAAACCTAAGCAAGGCTGTTAATCACAGGATCACTCATGAGAAGGTTCTCGTTATAAGTCAATTACCAACTTGATGTCACATTAAAAAAATCAATGGATATATGACCTTTAAAGTGTAACGTGTAAAATCAGGAAATACCGGTGTCAATACTAACTAAACGAACTGTGATACTGGAGAAATCCAAGTACAGTAGAGTCTTGCTTATCCAACATAAACGGGCCAGCAGAACGTTGGATAAGCGAAAATGTTGGATAATAAGGAGGAATTAAGAAAAAGCCCATTAAAAGTCAAATTACATTATGATTTTACAAATCAAGCACCACAACATCATGTTTTACAACAAATCAACAGAAAAAGCAACTTAATACACTGTAATGGTATGTAGTAATTACTGCATTTATGAATTTAGCACCAAAACATCACAATGTATTGAAACAGCTGTGGATCCGAGCGGGAAGCAGACTGTGTTGGATAATACAGAACGTTGGATGACTGAAGGTTGGATAAGCAAAACTACTGTATGATCAAAGCCCCCTTAGAAAATGATCTCACAACAGACAAGAATCAAATACCAGAATGGAGACTGTTTTGTTGCAAAAGGACTATTGTGACAATCAACTTTGCCTTATTTGGTTGACTTCATTTCAGCGCATCGGTAGATCCATTGTGTTGGTGACTCTATGGTGCAAAAAGAAGCTTGCATCTGGCTGTTATATAAAGATGTAGCTTTCAATCAGGATTAACTCCAATCCATTGGGAAAAACAAGGCAAAGTCTAGCCTACAACTAGAACAGCAATTATATCTGTTCACTACACCAAGATGACAGAGCCCTTTAGTACCTTGAAGACAAGGAATTTCTTGAGGCATTATCTTTTGTACACAAGAAACAACCCTTCATAAAATACATCACATGAGCTGGAAAGGGTTTTAAATACCCAGATACGTAATGATTTAGGAACAATGGAAGAAAATCCAATTTAGCAAAGCAGAACACATTAAAGGCAACACAAAAACAAGAACACATCTTGGCAGGAAAAGTACGATGCATAATCTGAATATTATATTCAACTGCAGAAACAAAGCATGAAATCTAGGTGACAACTGTAATCATTCATGGAGAAGATGATTACTTTCTCTAGTGAGGGGATCACTTATAATCTTATTTAAACCAAGAGATATAGTGTCAAATCTGTCAATCAACAAATTCTACAGCTCATCATGGCTTTGTCAAAGTACAGTGGATGCATAACAGTAGGCCTAGACCTGTAGTAGATCTTTGAGTGATCTACAGGAAGGCCAGTAAGAATGTATGCTTCTAGTTTAATCATCATAATAGCATTTTCTACTATCATAAACTGCTGAAATGAGGAACACATTGATTAACAAGGAAAGGGTTTTGGGGGGCAGGAAATATGTGACTCCAATATCCAAACCATATCTCTGAGCAAAAACTTCTGTAATTCTTTTTCAACTTTGCACCAGATGTAGTCAATGGAAATTGGGTGAAACCAAAATAAAACAGATAACAAGAAGCCTGATTCCATTTTCATATGCTTCAGTAACATAAGAAATGCATATCAATTGGGGAAATCTCCCTCGAAGGAGCTGAGCATCTTAGAGAGGCCAAGGGAGCTTTATCTTAGAACACAATGCAGTGGACATCCATGTGGCTTCCTGAATAACATGGGGAGCTTGGCTTTTGAAGCTCTTTCAGCATTTGACCAACTTAAGCTCATCCAGATTCACAATATCATCCTGAACACATTGAATCTCATTTGATTCTGGAAGCTAAACAGTGTCAGTCCTTCGGGAAATACTGGTAAATTGACAGAGGTAGGAAATAATCCTGCCTGAAACTAAGCAGCAACTTTTATTTGAAGTTGACAATTCTGAGCTTGCTGCACCAAGGTTCTGGTTCGTATAAAGCAGTTTCCTAGGTTGGTCGGCCTAATCCTGGTTACCAATCTGAAACACAACGTTCCTAAAATGCTTGTCTTGTTCAAAAGCTGTTGTGATAAATAACAGATGCCTGTGTCATCCTAAAGTTAAACGTGATACAATTAACTTCCATAAAGAGAAAGCTGAACTTAACCTGAACCAACGGCTGTGGTCCAAAAGCCAAAAGTTTGTTGTGATTGTTAAATCTAATAGAACTCAGTATTACAAGAAACATATTACTCCAACAACAACAACACAAACAAAACATAAAAGCTCAAAGTTTATTACTCTCCATTTTATAGCACAAAGTAAAAAGAGCTTGGATAAATTAACTCTGAGGATTCAAATGAGAAATAGCTCCAGATAAAGGGGAAAGGGAAGTCCAGCACAAAGATGGCCTCGATTGTTCATTTCTGGCCAACATCAGCACTCATTCCTGGAAACAAGGGTAAACTTCATATGAGAAACCTGCCAACACAAACTGTTCTTTATTTGTGATTACCTTTGCAGTACTGAAGGACAGTCTCCATGGCACATTTCCTGTCTGAAGCCCACCGGATTCGGGCAGATCCAGCTATTTTGTTTTCCACAGGCCACCAGCCTTGCCAGAGATACACTTCGTGGTGATTGTCAACAAGGAAGAGGGCTGCACAGAGTAAACAGAAGTTTGGTTTCAAATGACATTGTTATGTTTTTGCATGTATTTGCTGGGAAGGTTGTGCAAACTATTTTCCCAGACTCCCAATAAAGGACCATAAACACCCTGGGGTAAGAAAATGCACGATTCAGGTTGGAAATAATACATATCCAAGCAAGGGACAGACACAAGAGTTTTTTTGTTTCTGTGAATGGCGACTGGGAAGGTTACTTCTCCAAAACATATGGTAGGAGAAAAAAAAAATAGTGCATGGCTAATAGAGGCAAGTTTAAGGTCCAAAATGGCAGAAAATCTGGACAAATCTAAGATCCAGAAGATTCTTAGATGTTTCACGGGCAGAATGCAATACTATGGTCATTTCTGCATATTACTAGTTTCATTTACCTGGTTGAGGAGCGGTGTAGAGGTCTTCTTGCAAGAATGGCATAGAATTGACCACAGAGGGGTCTCTTGACGGATATATATATTCTGTGGCCAAGAATTCCCCTGACGAACTACCAAGGATGAATAGGCGGGGTGTGAAATTAAACTTGCCGGGATCTTTCAAGGAAAACAACAATGGGAGTTCAATTAACAATCAGGAACAATACCAATTTTATATTTCACATTTTTTTCTATATAAGCTTTCAATATAATGAGTAAATGGAATGGGACATATTATGTGAGAAAGATAAAAGGATAGCAACTGATAATATTCCCTCTTGAGAGAAGACAGCCCACCCACACCCACAGTTTCAAGATCCCTTTTTGTCAAGGAATAAATGCTACTGAGAACTTTCCCAGGTCACTGGTAAGTCCAACAAGATTTGAGAGTTCGAGGGTATATATAACAGATGTATCATAGGGATCTCAAGCAATACCTTGCAGCATACAATCATAAGCTTTTCGGTCTCTCCTTCCTAAGGCATCCCAGAATCCTATTGGCTCCGACCCTTCTTCACATTCATGTATTGTTACCTTGCTACTACTGTGCAATCCTGCTTCCAATGGACATCTGAAACACAATCACAATCTATTAGCATTGTTAGGGTTGTGAAGTTTCATTACAACATAGATTTCTCTACCTCTCATTGCCAAAAGGACAAATAAGCCATGTCTGGTCATAAACAGAGTTTGGAATAGTCACTTGTTGGGACTAAAACTCCTAGCAACCCTGTGAAGGATGTGCTAGATTTTGTATTTGAGAAAGGAGAATTAATTACCTATGGTTTTGGGAAGCTAAAAAATAAAACAATAGTTAGCATATTGTTTGACTGTGTTTAATAAACCTATTCTGTTGTTTTAAACATGTCTCTAGATCGCTTTCAAGTCTGAACTGGAATCAGGCCATGCATACTAAAAGGAAGAATCCATATAACAACACAACCATATTTAAGAAGGTCATACTGAGACCCAATGATCCAATCCAGGAAGGGAATAACTGGGGGAACAAAGGCAGGAGCCATGATTCCAAGGAGGTGTAGTTTTAGGGTAAATTCTCCAGCCAGTTTACTGGGGCTAGGACTATATTCTAAGAATTGAATCGAGGTTACAAGTGAAAGAAAGTAATTTTAAAACTCCTCACTTTTGCTTATCCACAGCACTGTAATTGAGGAAAGAAGTGGAACCATGTTGTTCTTCTGCTTGAACAACGACTGTGAAGCAAAAACCTTTGCCAAAGTGCTACTAATCACCCAGCTTTCAGTCTACCTTCTGCCAATCCCTGGTTTAGAATGCTAGGAAAATTGGATTGAAATGAAATGGCCATATCACTCCCTTTTCATTTTTTATCCTAAAATTATAAATCCAAATAATTATATCATCCTATATAAATAATTGCATCATGCATGCTTTGCCATAATAGCAAAATATTTATATTTTGAATGATGGCTGTAAAATCTGTTACATAAATAAATAGTTGGATCATAATCATTATTTATTCCATGTTTAAAAGAGTTTTAAAGTAAGTTCTTCAGGTGTTAAATGCAAACAATAGAGTAATCTTATGAAAATAATAGCTTTTGGTACTTACTGTTCCTTTATTTTATTGGCTGCTGTTCTTCCTACTTCTTTAGTGTGTGGCTGGGCTTTGCAGCCATGCCACAAGTAAATGAGGGCTTTGTTAATGTTGAGGACAATCATCGAGGTCCTGGACCGTAGGCTGCTACAGTGACAGGCAACTTCAAGCAAGTTCCCTTCAAGGGGGACTTCTCCACGTACACAATACAATCGCCAATCACCTAGAAGGGACATTGAGAACATATACCATGTAGCTGTGGACAAGTCTATATAGGGATCACCAAATGCAGCGCTCAAAAACGAATCAAGGAACATGAAAGGTGCTGCAGATTAACTCAACCAGAGAAGTCAGCCATAGCAGAGCACCTGATGAACCAACCTGGACACAGCATATGATTCGATAACCCAGAAATGCTGGACCACTCTAACAACCAACATGTCACACTACACAAAGAAGCCACTGAAATCCACAAGCATGTGGACAATTTCAACAGAAAGGAGGAAGCCATGAAAATGAACATAATCTGGCTACCAGTATTAAAAAAAACTCTAAAAACAGGACAGTAAAGAAAGAGCCAGATTCAAAAAACAGGGGAATTCCAGACAAGAAACAATCAGGGCAAGCTAATACTTCCCAACAAAGGATTCCCTGAGAAGGAACCAGCCATTAAATGGCTGCAAGGCCATTAAATGCTAATCAAGATAGCTATTTGCAACATTCACACCTGCTTGAAGCAGACAAGAGTTCTTTCTTCTACCCTGGACATTCCACAGATATATAAACCTGACTTACCTAGTTTCCAACAGACCCCTCAACCTCTGCGGATGCCGACCATGCTTCTGGAACATGGTCATACAGCTCAGAAAACTCACAGCAACCCAATTTAACCTGGTTTGAAAATGGCATTCCCAGACCTGGAAATTATGCATCTATCTCATCACAACCATGTATGAGCCAGGTATAACTTCTCAGTTACAGAGGGGAAAAAACCTCTGCACATGTTCAAAGGTACTTGTTTCACTATCGTAGCTTCTTTGCCCAGGATGATCCCATCATTCAGTACAAGAACTGCCTTAATAAAATCCTAGTGTGCTTAGACAACAGATAGAATGAATAAAGGATGAAAAATATATCACAAAGTTAAAATCTCCCTTCTCTCTAAAACACAGTAGAAACATTACAGGAAGATGATACTTTACTCTGAGTGTTTTCTTCTTCTTCTTCTCTTCTCCCAGAATGAACAATCATTCCACCTTGAAAACATTGCAGAAAACATGGGGGCTCTTTCCCTTGAAGAACTTGCACCTGAAAAATAACATTCAAGAATCCCAGTGAAATGAGTTTTGGTTAACATTATATAATAGATAAATAGTACATAATAACAACATTAAATATCCACTATTTATTTTGATAAGCTGTTTGAATTGCAAGTGACATCTGATGCTATATCAGGCAAGGGCAAACTTGGGCTCTCCAGGTGTTTTGGACTTCAACTCCCACCTTGAGGGCCGAAGTTTGCCCATTCCTGGTTTAAAGCCACAGAACAGGGGTGGGCTAAGCCTGGTCCTAAAATCATATTCAGCCCCTAAAGACATCTCAACACTTCTAGAATCCCCAGAACAACTTTTTGGGGGCTGAAAAAAGGTGTTGAAGTTTTGTTCCTAGAAACTTCCAGTGAAAAAAAATATTTAAGTAGGTTGCAAGGAAGGACTATAGCATTTAGCATTTTTGAAACGTATTTTGAGCAGTCCATGCACAAAAAATGGTCCCTGGATCCACTGCAATTTTCTACTCTGGTTTTAGAATGATTCTCATGGTTTTATAGCTAACCTCCCAAAGAATAATCCAGGATGCTTCCAAATGAGTCTTTACCTTGCAATTACGCTGCCTAGTTCATGGGATTTTAATGAAAGCTCCAGATAACATCTTCTACTTGCAGCCTTCCTGTGTTTTCCCAGTGATTTCCATGTCATTTTTATTCACATACACTGCCAAAGCATGCACAATGCCTCCCTGAATGGCAAAAGGAAGTCTGGAAGGGCCCTGAGAGACTTTTGCAAAAATGGGAGCCAATGTTTTCCTCACCTGAGCCCCTCTCTCTTCATCCAGCTCCACCGTCATCAACGCAGACGTTCCTTTCTCGCTGACAGTGGAATGTCTCCCTTGCCAGAAGAAGTACACACACTTCTCTTTGCCAACAACCCGGGTCTGCAAGTCTCCCTTTTGTCTGCTTCCAACTGCAAAGCCAAACCAAAAAGAGGTTGGATAACTAACAGGGCATGCATCCAACCCAGACCTCACATCTCGAGCTAAGCTAACAAATATGAAATCAAAGCAGTGCAAAATGTTCCTCTAAAAAAGTGGAATGCATTAAGATCTGGCAGGCAATAATTCAAAGGTTTACAATAAAAAGCAAGCCCGTAATATACACAAATGCAATATGCATGTGATGTATTTTCACCATGCTGCCATATTGAAAGAAATGTACTGTGTCACTTACCACATACTAGTAAACTTTGGACCTCGTCACACTAGAGAATGAATCCACTTAAAATCCAGTTTCTGCTTACTGCAGAATTCTGGGGTTTGTAGTTTAGTGAAGTTGCTAAAGGCTCCTCCCTAAACTACAAAGCCTAGAATTCTGCGCAGGAGGCAGAAACCGGATTTTAAGTGGATTCATTCTCTAGTGTGATGTCCTTTGATGGTTGCTATTTTTCAGTGCTGTTATCTAACAGTGCTTTTAAGTACAATTGGGCAGCAAGAGGTTAAATCTCCTTAAGTAAAAATTCTATTAGACTGGAAGATAGAAGTATGTATAACAGTGTTTCTCAACCTTCCTAATGTCGCGACCCCTTAACACAGTTCCTCATGTTGTAATGACTCCCCAACCATACCATTATTTTCACTGCTACTTCATAACTGTAATTTTGCTACTGCTATGAATTGTAATGTAAATATCTGATATGCAGGATGTATTTTCATTCAGTGGGCAAAAATATCCAATATGCCCAAATCTGAATACTGCTGGGGTTTGTGGAAGATTGATTTTGTCATTTGGGAATTTTAGTTGCTGGGATTTATAGTTCGCCTACAATCAAAGAACATTGGGAACTCCACCAACGATGGAACTGAATGACACTTGGCACATGGAACACCCATGTCTAAAAGAAAATACTAGAATGGTTTGGTGGGCATTGACCTTGAGTTTTTGGGGTTGTAGTTTACCTACATCCAGAGACCACTGTGAACTCAAACAATGGTGCGAGCCTCCCTCCAGCCTTGCATGCTCTCCCTCGCCTCCACATGCGTTGAGCATGCCTGCTCTCCCCTCCCCACTTGGAGTCTCAGTAACAGCCCTCCCCTTGGCTGAGAGGCCAGCCAATCACAGCAGAGGAGGGCTTTTGCTGGGAGGATTTGCCATCTATTTACAAAAAGGAAGAGAAGGACAGGTGGAGAGCTCTTCAGCCTTCTCTGCCAAAGGGGTTCCTAAGACTATCAGAAATATATGTTTTCTGATGGTCTTTGGTGACCCCTCTGAATTCTCCTCTGAACCCCCCAAGGGTCCTTACCCCAGGTTGAGAAACACTGATAAATAAGAACATTAAATTGCAGATATATTGGTTTATAATAGTAGTGGCTTCTATCTTCATGTAACACATTTATCCAAGAGGTGAATCACAGGCTATAAACATTTCAGTGGTTCCCTTTCAAAACTACACCCTTAATCTTAAGACCACCTTGATGACTAACAGGTGTTTTCAAAAACATCAAAAGGATGGAGTACAAAGGATTGTGTTGCACCATAAGCAAACATTTATATTCATATCCTGGCCTCTGCCTTACAAGTAAGGAAGCTCCTAGCAATTAATATATGAAAAGGAGGGGAAAAATCAATTGCTGTTTTGCCTGGATAGCTAGGTGCATCATAAGCAGGACCGATCAATTTTACTTGATTTGGGCACATCAATATCTTATTTGCAGCAGGATCAGATTTCCCCACTAACCTGAAGTGCTCACCAGGTACTTCCATTTCACAACATACGTATCCCCTTCGTGAAACTGCCCAATGCTTTGCTTTGGGAGCCTGCTGTAATCGAATTCCAAGATGTGCCAGACATCCACAGAGACAGTGATGATTTCAAACTGCCTCCTATCCTCTCCTTCAATCAACCCATAGCCACGGCCAATGTTCATCCCATCCAAGACTGTGCCAACGGTCGTCTCAGGCAAAGGTACCATTCGCATGACATCATATGGCTTAGCATCAGACTTGGTCTCTTCCTGTAATAAGACACAAGGTAGGACAAACATCTTAAGAAAGCAATTTTTAAAAAGCCCATTAAATCTAGCAAGACAGAAAGCCAGAACAAACCATTTAGATTTAAAGCCCTTATCACAATACGAAAGGTCTGTTGAGGTTTGCCAACAATTTACACAAGCTGTGAAATTGCAAAGACTTAAAAGTACACCCTGGAAAAATTGATGTTTGTAACACTCAGCTTTGCATATGATTTTTCCCCATTTTATAGTTTGTGTAAAATCATAAGAAATGCTACAATCTTTAAATCAGTCTAGCATAGAGAAACAATTTATTTTGATGGCTATACTGCAATTCTCCCATCCATTAATTCACAGGGAAAAATCAATCTCTTAGCTTCAGTTTTTCAACCTGTAAATGAGGATAGAATAGTAAGTTTACTCTGTGATACAGTGTAAAATAGTTTACAAATCGATACCTGTGTAATATATATCAACTACTATTGGTATACTCTTACCTTAAGGGGGGATTCACTAGAATTCTTCTCAGCAGGCTTCTTTAGTTCAGTCCAATCAAGAAATTTCTCTTTAAACAGTATCGTTTCATTGTGCTCTGTGAGCCTGCCAAAAATAGCCCAGTCTGGTCTCCCTTGTCCTTTTCTGTTTTATGAAAGAGAAAAATATTATTATTATTATTATTATTATTATTATTATTATTATTATTATTATTATTATTATCTGGGAGATGAGACCCAGGTTTAAATATGGCATTCACTTATCTTACCCTAGAGGAAAGTTTATACAATGTTTTAAAAAATATTTTTGAGCATGATATAAAGTTTGTGTACACTGAATCATCAGAAAGCAAAGCTGACAGTATTTCAGTTACCCAGGTGAAAGGTTCCAGATTTCTCGACATGGGATGTTCAACTTGTGCTAGAGCAATAAGATGTATAGCTTTCCCAAATAATTCAAAAAATAAAACATTTATTCTTTCTAATATATTCTTAACTTGTCTCCAGTCTCCATTGAACTGGGATCAGTTTTACATGCTCTGTAAGTGACTAAAACGGGCATGGGCAAATTTTGGCTCTCCAGGTGTTTTGGGCCAACTCCCACAATTCCAAACAGATGGTAGGCTTTTAGGAATTGTAGGAGTTGAAGTCCTAAACACCTGGAGGGCTGAAGTTTGCCCATGCCTTCGCCAAAGTGAACATAGATCATCTTTTTTTATTCTATGAATCTATGAGAACTGGCAAGTTAAGGGAACCTTCTAGTACATATGCAATTCAGATTCTCATTTGGAGAAGAAATTCACTGTTATGAGTCAAGCAGTTTGATACCTTGGAATAAGGGAGTTGCATTCACCAGGATCTAGAGGATTGATATCACAGTTGGCATAGTCAAAGGTACCATTCCATAAGTGTTTGGCCAGCTGGAATGCCACTTTCCTTTGTCCGAGTGTGACTTCTTTCCCATGCCAAACATATACTTCACTACCAAAATCAAACACCAAGACCTGAAAAGGGATGGGATGGAAAAAAGAACGGGGTTAAAGGGTAACACTATATCACAGCTTAGCATTTCAAGAGTGTAACCTGCCTCATGCATTCCCCATCATCTTTTCTTTGCCTCTTTGGCTACATCTGAGTGGAAGAAATAAAAAACCTTTTCATGTTTTATAAATTTAACTACTGTCTGAAATCTAAACCTATGTTTAGCTGAAACATGTTAATAAACGATGGTGTGCAGCGTTCATGTTTCAATAAACCATGTTAAAGATGTATATCTGGCTTCAAGTGACATGACATGGCAATCAAAAACTTCTTATCTTCTCACAGCTGCACTGGAGGATGCGGAGGCAGTGAGTCAAATAGTTGTTGCAACTGACAATACTAAACTATGATCTATATTTATGGGGAAACAAGGCAAATCAATAAGAAATATGTTTAGAAGTTGATTACCCTCAATACTATTGCTACACTTGCTGTTTTTCTGTATGACTTTTTTAGTATAGTAAGTCTATATTACCACCACTATCCCAAAAAACTTTTAAATCCATAATTTAGAATCTATATTAAGGAAGCCATGCTATCTGCTTCCTGCAACACTGTCTTGTTTGTGTATTTTGAAGTGCAATCTTTTAAACCTAACAAGTTGCATTTTGAGGTCAAAAATACTAGCCCTCCTCTGGCTGTTGAAACAGTGCTATTAATGTGTACTATTTAAGCATTGAGTTGGGCCCAATTCTGTTTTCAGAACTTGGAAAAGTGATATGTGGGGACTAGAACTTTCCAAGTCACTCAGCTCTACCAGGAAAGTGGGGCAAAAAGCAAATGTTTGTTTGCACTCCCATGTTGTTGCACAGCAAACATCTGAGGATTTGTCAGAGGATGAGGAGGATGACGGGTTTCAAACTGAGAAGTCTGTGTGAGATCAGAGAGAATTGCAGGCAGAGGAGGCCCAGGCATAGGATGCTTTGAAATCCGATGCTGGTTCCCAGGTAACAGGGGAAAGTGAAAGTCCTTGTGCTAATGGGGAGTTTTGCCGAGAAATTATATTAGGCTTGAGGACAGAAGGTGTAAGACACAAACAAGTTAAATATTTTCACAGAAACCGTGGGAAAATCTTGAAGCCCAGGTGTGTTCGGCATGATGTCATGGGTGCCTAAAAGGGTTTAAATTAAGTGGTTTGCTTTCAAGTCTCTCAGAGGAGACTAGATTGCTTTCAGGATGAGTTTCCTGTCTATGCTCTCAAGTTCATATTCAACTTTCCTGATATAGTTCATGTCTTTGTTCCTGTAGGGATTTTTTTTTTTGGTTTATGGATTTATGTTTGGATTGCTTTGCATTTCTGGTTCCCTTGACTTAGTGTACTTTCCCATTTTTAGATTACAGCTATTTTGTATTTCCTGCTTCTGAATTAATGCTACTTTGTTCTTTCTATTCTACTGACCCTTTTGGAATTGCACCCTTTCCCCTTTCTACCCGCCTCCCTAAATAAACATTTCTAGTTAGCATTACTGGACTCTGGTGTGGTGATGGGTGAAAAGATGTTCCAGTGCTGGAGTGCAGCATCCAATTTTAAAAGGAACAATGAAGCTTCCACTGAATTTCTAAATGCCACTTACTATACCTCTTTTGAATTTAACAGAGTACACTTTGGCATCTTTCCCCAGTAGTCGTCATCAGGAATTAGCTTATCATCAACTAATCGGTAAATGCAATTTGTTTCTATTATTGCAGCTTCATACATTTCGTCTTCTTCTGGTCTTCCAGCAGCTTGAAAAGAGTAGACAAAACAAAAATGTTATCAATATAGCATAAGGCATAATTAATTTGGAAGAAGCAATTTGGGAACGCTCTTACAACAGGCAGTCAGGGAGAGAAAAAACAAAAACTTCCTTACACTGATAACTTGTTTGACCGCCGAGTAGTTTCCAGAAGTCTTTGGCGGCGTGAGTGTGAGTATTGATCCCTTCCTCTATGGTCTGCACGTACGAAGCTCGACAGCCAAGCTCCCTCTTTGTCTGAATTAAAGTTGCAAGTTCTGAAGCCTAAGGAATTGAACAAGATTAACTGAATAGACTTCCCTAAGCTGAAGGACAATTGTTCGGTTCAGATGAGAAAGGAAGAACTGACACTTTCTGCTGTTTTCATTATACAAACAACACTGCACATGGAAACTGTGTCACATACAAATAGGCTCTCTGGCCTCCACTTAAATAATTTATTGCATTTAATTTCAGAAACCAAAAAGGACATCCTGGCATTTTTTTTCCCTGCCTGAACATAGATGTTTCCTATGAATAATTTCCTATATAAGATTTAACAGCTTACTAGCTTTTATCCGTTTATGAAGAAGGGGGGAAGAGAGAGAAAATTACTCCCATCAGTATTGACCTCCTGTTTTACATACTGGGGCTAAAATTCACATTATGTGTTACTTTACATCCTATCCGTAGATGAGCTTTTATTTATTTCGTATCAAAAGCACTGCATAAATGAGTATAAAATTGATAAAAAATAGAAGGAGCACAAGTGGCTAAATATGTTTTGACCAAAAACAGGCAACAGCAACAGCAATAGATGAGCTGCCCAAGAATGTTACGGTGCAGAAAGAAACAGCGTTAACACAGTTCTTTAGCATACCAACCTTTGCTTTTTCTATGACATTTGCAAACTCCCCTACCCACAGGAAGCAGTAATGGGGGGTGAGTAACAGGAAACAGTCCCCACTGTTAAGCGATGTAGCCCTTGGTTCGACTAATCTTGTTTGAACATGTCTTCTTCCTGCACACACAGAAAAACACAGACTGATTAAATTCCTTGAAATAAGTACTGGAGCCAATGTCCAGGCTCAATTATTCCAAAAAGAAGAAAAAATAAACTCCTGTCTGAGATAAACAATGGACCATTTCTCACAATGTCATTTTATGCAAGAGATGGCTTAAGAAGTATTAGAGGATTCACAATATGCTTGTCAGATGGAACAATTCCACTATTATGATGAAATATTTCACTGATCAGCTCCTCCCTGTCATCTTCTTAGTTTAGAAAAAAAATCACAGAGGAAACACAATAGTCTTATAAAACGATGCATAGTGTGGACAAAGTCTTTGAATTAATACTTGAATCTACTTGTCATTTCAGTGAAGCTGAGCAGGGGGGATTCAGAACAGAAAAAGGGAAGTACGCTAGATAGAGTCTCGCTTATCTGACATAAATGGGTCTGCAGAATGTCGGGTAAATGAAAATGTCAGATAATACAGAGTCTCGTACTGTTACCTGTCTGATGCAATGCTAGGCACCTAGAATACTAACAACAGGGACTTCAAGGGTTAAGACAAGGCAATGCCTCTGGACTAGAGCGGCCCAGCAGGAAGTGCCCGCATGTAGAAGAGGAGCGTGGAAATCACTGGAGGAAGGAAGGAGGGAGGACGCTTCCACTTCCAGTCCTGCCTCTCCCCCCCCCCACCCCGTCCCCCCGCTCTCTGTCTTGCCTTTTTCACTTATTTGGAATGGAGAGTGAGTTGGCAAGCACACCTTTAATTGAGAGGGAAATGCTGGAGGAAAAAGAGGACATCGGATATGACAGAATGTCGGATAAATGAAGGTTGGAAAAGTGAGACTCTACTGTATTTTTCCACATTAAAATACAAATCCAATAGGATTCAGGCTATAGCAGGTATGGGTGAACTTCGGTCCTCCTGGTGTTTTGGATGTTAACTTCCATAATTCCTAACTACGCAAATTGTGGGAGTTGAAGTCCAAAACACCTGGAGGGCCAAAGTTCACCCATGGTGACTGTACAAGCTTCAAGGAATAACATTACATGGTTAATTAGGGAATCTCTCCCATTACACAGATGCTGTTTTACTTGCACGAAGCAGCAAGACAGGAAAGTCTGTTTTCCTCCTCTGCCACCTTTTGCATGGTCTCGCTTTTTTAATACTTTGCATTTCAGATTATTCTTTTTAAAAGTAGTATGTAAGAGCTCTTCCACGTACCTTTGATCTGCAAAAGCATCAGCTTCTTATATGGCACAGCACTGTTGTTTGAATTCTGTTCTGTTAGATTGACACTACGCAGGCTAACACTGCTGAAGTTCTCCTTACTTGCTAAGCCAGCAAGTGCTACTTCTGAGAAATTTGAGTTTGCAGACACTTAAGACACATGAAGTTGAAAAGAAAAGGACAGAAAGAAACAAAAAGCAAGAAAAAGAAAAGAAAAAGACAGCCAGACACAAAAAACAACAAAGAAACTACATTATGTTTCATTTCCATATTTTATTTAGTTGGATTTTTTTTTTCATGCATGGCTCAATTCCCGCTTTTTTTGTTTGTTTATTTTGCTGCAGATGCTGCTGAAAGAGACAACACAAAAACAGGTTGAGCTCAAATTACTCGCTAATCTGAGAACCTTACATTTCCAGGAGGAAGGTTTCAAGATTATGGTGAAAAAATTGAACTATCCAACACTCAAATTTCTTATTCACATTATTGCAGCAATTATAAATGTATGCAATAATTATTTTAGAGGTTTTTTTTTTTGTTATTTCCTGCACAATTGTTGTTTTGTTGTTGCATGGGATTCAAATCTGTTAGCAGCTGGCTAGAAAACAAAGGGTTTCTTCCTACTCTTCATGTCAACCACATCAATACAGTGGTGGCTTATGGTTCCTAGGTCCATAGGGATCATCCATTTGATCCTGGTTTTAGGGTAGATCTACACTGTCCGATATTCCAGGATGTGATCCCAAATTATCTGCTATGAAATGGATTACATGAATTTACAGTGCCAGGTAATCTGGGATAACCAGATAATCTGGGATCTGATCCTGGGATATAGGGTAGTGTAGATCCAGCCTTAGCCTAAAAGGAAGTAATTCAAGATGCCAAACTTATTTTGGAGGACAGCTTTTGGCACTTTGAATAGCTCAGATGAACATCCAGAGCAAACTCACTACCCCACTAACAACAAAGTCATTAGTAGGTTCTGGCCCAGCTTACTTGTCTGAACGTATCTCCTGCTTTGAACCATCGCAAAATCTAAGATTGATGGGAGAGGCCCTGCTCTTGGTCTCACCATCCTCACAAACGTGACTGGTGGAGACGAGAGACAGGGCCTTCTCAGTGGTGGCCTCTCCCCTGTGGAACTCTCTACCCAGTGATATTAGATTGGCCCCTTCTCTCTTATCTTTTAGAATGAAACTCAAAAACCTGGCTATTCGAACAGTAGAGGCAGCAATTTAGAATGAGACCCAATTTGTGTGAATGACCATGGACTGACCTGGACTATGATTTCAAACGTGCATGATTTAAACAATGTTTTAGTAACTTAAAAAATTAACAAATTGTTTTAATTGTTTTTATTATTTATTACTGTTGTTGGCATTGAATGAATGCCTGTAGTGAAGCCGCCCTGAGTCCCCGTCCGGGGGTGAGAAAAACCGGATACAAATGAGCAAAATAAATAAATAAAATAGGAATATTTGGTGTCTATCCTGTAGCTGCCATATCACTAGGTAATGAGTGAAAAGCCCTTACCTTTGGCTGCATCATTCTGTACATTGTGTAGATAATCTGGTCAGTAGTCTACATGAACTACCTAATTAATTAAATTAAGAAACCTTTCTTAACCTGACTGTATTCCCTGTCCTGAAAACTGCTAAGTGATGTTCCCTGTTACATTGGACCCTGGAAACCAAATTGTAGTTTCATCTCTGCTCCCTAAGAAGGTTATGAATGCCACAGCTGGGATTCTTATGCTTGAATGGACATACTATTTGCCATAAGACTCTTATTTCCCAAAACTAAACCATACATCTTGATAATATTGGCTCTTGAGCAGCAATAGTCAGTCCTGGGACATAAAACTTACTTTTTTCAACTTTCATCCGTTTTGACTCCATAAAGGCCACATTTAGCCTTTGCTCTGTATACTCATGAAGGATGTCCTCCCTTGCTGCAAGCAATTTTAAGGGGTTCCTGGAAGCCTGAGCTCTGCGCACGGGCCTGACTGCACGCTTGTGCTCTGCTACTGAGGAAATTAACCTAAGAAGCAAGAGATTTCCACTTGTTAATCTTAGCTTTATCATTATACCACTAAAGGTTGATGACATGGAGCATTTTTTCAAGGATATACCATGCAACCAGCCTTTAAATCCGAATGTACGAACCAAGATGACTGTTTCCTCCTGAGGGCTATCTTTCAACCCACTGATGTGCTGAATATTTATTACTATAGTGATAACAGGCTTTTAAATGAAAATATTTCAGTTCATAGCAATGTTTAATATTGGAACAGTTGGGAGCTATACAGTCCAACAACATCTGAAGAGATGCTTCATTATATGAGGTTGTTGTATTTCAGTAAAATCATTCATTAGCCTTATATTTTTGCAGTGGGATAGTATGAAGAATGTATCTACTACTTTTAAAGTATGGCTGTGTCAAGAGGCATTGAATTTTGCTTTGGCACCCTTGAAGAGATGGGCCACCCAACGATATGTCACCATAGATCAGTGGTTCTCAACCTATGGGTCCCCAGGTGTTTTGGCCTACATCTCTCAGAAAGCCAGTTTACCAGCTGTTAGGATTTCTGGGAGCTGAAGGCCAAAACAGCAGATATTATGCATTAGATGTAGGCCAAAGTCTCCAGGAGACTTTTGGCGGAATAATGTTTCATAGGAGGAAAGAAGGGACTATCTCAAAAGTCATAAGGCATCCACTACAGACTCCAATACAGTATTGTGAAAAGGTATGAAAATTGAAGTTCTTACTTTGGTGCATCAGGATCAAATATGGCATCAAAGTCCTCATCTAACTCCAAAGGCAACGAAGAGGTAGGGTAATTCACACGATAAAATTTGGAGAACGTTTCATCATCATCTAACTTCATCACTTCTTTCACAGATTTTCCTGTGACTGTCAGAACAGTTTCTTGCATTCCACCAACTATAAGAAGGGTGAAAAAAAAGGAAGAAAAAGGAAAAAAGATATGTGGAAGCACCTTCAAGACTAACTGGTTTATATTTTAGCACGAGATTTCATGAATCTAAACCCACCACTAGTCAATGAAATCGTTTCAATTCTAGAACTGAACAGCATTTTGTTACTGTGTGTTAAATTATAGGAATATAATTAATAAACTATAATCAGAAAAACAAAACTTAATGGCTGAAGTAGTAATAAAAGCAGGAGTGGAAATGAACTCAAGACAGCTTTCTAGAAATTTTGCATACCTTTGCTATTCAGCCTTCCCAAGAAAGTCTCCAGTTTGTCCAACTTCATGTCTGATTCTAACTGCATATCTGGCCTAGCTTCAATTTCTAAACAAAATAAGAATGAAAGCTGTCATTCCGATTCAAACAAAGAGGAATAAAAGCCATGTTTCTCACCTGGATCTAACAATTCTTAATGGCTTACCTTCCAGGGGTTTTGAAATGGGTGTTGTTGATTTCAATCTGTTGCAGAAAGGGGATGCCACTGGTGTGATGGCAGTAGGTGAGGCTAAGCCTACAAAATAAAAATTGCAGTTTACATTATACAGTGCATCTTTCAACTACTAGAATATTGATATGTTTAAATATTTCACCTGCAACCCCCCTCCCTCTCATTATAACAAATTGTACTACTTCATTTAAGACTGTACTTCATAGAGATGGTAACATTAAGGGCAGCTGGAAAGGCGGAAGATTGCATTCCAGGTAAATAGGCTCAATCAGAGAAGCAACAGCTCTGAGTCTGCAAGACCTGAGCAGGATTGTTGAGGATAGGTCAACTTGGATGTCTCTCATTCATAAGGTGGCCATAAGTTGGTAAACATGAAGGAGGTTAACAACTACAGCAATAGAGCATTTCAGGCAATTACAAATTAACGAAAACAAGCACCAACTGCTGCTCTGGGACCAGAGTGAAAAGCGGGGCCAGGAAGACAGTTCCACCTTGTCTCCTGCACTCTGCTAATAATATAATATAATAATATAATATAATATATTGTACATACATATAATATTGATAATATTGTAATGTAATACAATATAATACTGATAAAACATAATATTATAATTATATATATTATATTACATGTAATATTACTAATAATATTACAGTATAATGGTATAGTACAATATAGTAATATATAATACTAATATTGTGCTATGGTAATAATATAATATATTGTATTTACATATTACTTGTAAGCCCCTTGGGGTGAGAAGGGTGGCACATAACTCCATATTTTGCAGGAGGTTAAGAAACCTGACTTGTCCTTTTCCTTTGCACATTCTGCATTTGCCAAAGATCCTTAAGTGAAATAACTACATTGAAACTGAAGCTTATAGTCTTGTCCTCTTTCTTGTAGGTTAGGAAATCTGGTTGGCTTTTCTATAGATGGATGAAAGAGATGGTTGGGTGGAGATGGGAGGTTATGGTTATTGAGTCTCACCATCATTAGTGCATGAAAAAAAAAATATTTTATGAGGTAGAGTTCCAGAATCTTCCAGGCAGTGCTATGAGTGGAAGATCCTGGGAGCTAGGTTCAGTACCTTGAATGCCCTAAAATTACCAGCACTCTGTCAAGACAGTTTAGTGAAGAAGATCAATGGTATCTGACATCTGTTGTAGTCAAGATTCTCAATCAAGATTCTATATACCTACACTACAACTGACAGGGGATTATGTGCCCTCCCAAATGTTGCTGGCCTGCAACACCGAGCATCTCTATGCAGCATAGCCAATTGTGAGAAATGCTGGGATAATGTGGTTGCTGTGGTTCAAATCGTGCCTGATTTACACCAATGCTAAGGTGAATCTTAAGAGTTTTCTTGGCAGGATCTGTTTAGAGAGAATTTGCCTTGGCCTTTCTCTGAGGCTGAGAAAGTGTTACTTGTCCAGAGTCACTAAGGGGTTTCCATAACCAATGCTCAAACCACAATATCATGTTGGTTCCCAAGCTGGGGGATGCAATTGAACAATGTCTAGATCAGTGGTTCTCAACCTTTTTTTTGACCAGGGACCACTTTGACCAGGGACCACTCTCGAACATTAGTACCAAAAGAGTTATGAATCAGTTTTTTGTCAACTTTAGATTTGGTTTGGTTATTTGGGGTGCTGATTCAGAAAATTGCATTGGATAGACTACATCAGCTCTAGTTTCTGCTACAGAATATATGCCATCCAATAGCTGCCATCTGCTCACCCACAGAAAACCATATTTAATCACCTAGAGCTGATGTAGTAGTAGTAATCTTTCGTGGGTAGTCAGCCTCTCTCCTCCGACATCCCTGTTACCTAAGAGGGTTTCGTGAGACCAATCACTCTCATTGCCATGATTTTTGAGGCAACGGTGTAGTAATGGTGAGGCTGCAAACCGTATTTTTGTTCTTGCAGACCACTGGTGGTCCATGGACCACTGGTTGGGAACCACTAATCTAGAGTGTCAGATGATTCCCCACACTCCTTATCTGTACTGATGTGGTCTTCACTTCCAGACAGTTTCAATGCTCTAAATAGAACTATCCATATTTTTAAATGTACAGCAAGAATAAGATGAAAGGTACAGATCGAAACAGATTAAGGCATTTCCTAATGCCAGTAAGATGCACATTAGTTGGAAACCTAAGCAAGAAGCAATCAGAACACAGGTTGATTGCTCAGATCTAACATACACAAACATTGTTTTCTATTTACAATCCAGTTGTGTACATGGAGAAGCTAAACATACTGTTGTGTACATGGAGAAGCTAAATATACTGCCAGCTTCAGAATACAAACAGTTTGCTACTGATGTTGCTGCATTGTCCTCCTGGGCTTTTAGTATAATTGGAATGGCTCAGCAACAAAGAATGGAGGAGGAAATGAAAATGAGCAGCTTCCATAGATTAAAGTAATTGAATGTTCCTCAGCAAATCCTGCCACACTTGCCTTGTTTCAGCACGAAAAACTAATAAAAAGACAGGTAAAGGATGGATAATTTACTGACCCTTCTTTACCATTCTGCCGGCCACAGTGAACTGCGTGGAGTCATTTGCTGCTCCTTTTCCCTTGGCCTTCCAAGCTTCTTCCCGAACGCTGATCAGTTGCTTTCTTTCTTCAATCGTCATTTGACTTTCACCACCATCCGACACTCGCTGCTTTTCCAAAGAGAAAGAAATGGCAATGAACAGCCAGTCTGAGCATGCAAAAAAAATATGAGACACAATAAACCAAGCCAACAGTGGGCATTCTGCATCCTCTAAATGTGTTATATCTTCCAATCTCTCTATTTTCCTTTTTTTTTTTTTTTTTTGCTAACAAGGATGTTAAACAAAGATAGCATTTTCCCATGATGTATCTTTGCTCTTTTGGTTCCTGATTAATCCTCTGCCTGTCCAACTTTTTCATCTGCTTTAAAAATGTCCTAGTTTCCAGTGCCCCTCTTCTTCAGCATACTTCAATAGCTACAAACGGAGTTCAAACTACAGAAGTAGTTTGCTGTCAATTATCTTGGTGAGGGAAGTGAAATCTTGGCCTAGCTTTTCTTCTTCTTCATTAATGACTTTTGACCTCTTGAATACACTCTGACGTTGCTTGGCCACACATCTCCTTGTTCACATCTGCAAATTGTTGTGGGGTTACTTTATGCAGCGTTTTGTAGTACTTTGTTGGCAGTACAACATTGTGGGTATGATGCTATTTTGTTACCAATCTAGATGTTTCTTTCATATGTTTCCAATATATAAGAATGCTCAGCAAACGCTGCTGATGGGAAGAAGAAAAAACTAGACCTATGTGTTTTTAAACTTTAATATTCACAGGAAATGCAAAATCTATGCCACAAAAAAAGTAAAGGTAATTTTCCCCCCCTGACATTAAGTCCAGTGATGTCCAACTCTGTGGGGTGGCGCTCATCACCATTTCTAAGCCGAAGAGCAGGTGTTGTCCACAAACACCTCCTAGGTTATGTGGCCGGCATGACTGCATGGAATGCCGTTACATTCCCACCAGAGCAGTACCTATTGATCTACTCACATTTGCATGTTTTTGAACTGCTAGGTTGGCAGAAGCTGGGGCTAAAAGCAGGAGCTCACGGCACTCCCCAGATTTGAACTGGAGACCTTTTGGTCAGCAAGTTCAGCAGCTCAGCAGTTTAACCCACTGTGCCACCGGGAGCCACATAGTCATATTAAATACTTTTTAAATAGGTGATCAACAGTCCATGGATTCAATCTCGCTATGAAAGCTCTTGGCTAGAATGGATAGAGATGCAAAGTGCTTATGACGTTGGCCCATTTAGATATAACACTGTTAAAAAAAATAGCAAGGAATAAATGTAAAATGAACAGTGTTTCACTTCCAGGCCTGTTTTTCTAAGTACTAGACATTTGCTCTTACAACTATTTTAATGGATGGCTTGAAGGAATCACAGAAAATATTAGCGTATGAATATATCACTAATGAAATCCAGAGGAAAAGTAACTGCCACAGAGATATGCTTGCCATTGCAAGAAGAGCAAATTTCCAAGAGCTTACGTAAATATCAAACATTAAGTACATTTCTATCACTAGGCCAGTAAAAAATGGCTATGGGCTATTAATTCAGAAGACAGTATGCCTATAGTATGCATGGTTATAAAGATCTCAGATGAATTTCAGGATTCATTTTCATTTAAACAAACCACGACAGCACAATATATCACATAACCATACAGGTTGAAATGTATCCCAAAGTAATCTAGACTATTTTGCCTTCAGGCCATGTTATACAAACACTCGTTATTCCCAAAATATTCATTCTTAGACTATGCCTCTTTTTTCAATCAATTCCTTGGAAGGGATGAGGAATGAGTTTTATTCCTGCATTTCAGAAAACACTGCTAGACTGGTTCACCACCAGAAGAATCCAGCAAGGAATCTCAGATTCAGAACTGAAGCAAAAATGGTGGGAAAACAGCTAAAGAAGGCAACCCTACCCAATGGTATTTGCTTTAAATTTTGCAAGCCATAAATAAATTTAAAAAGTGGTAGTGGTGGGCACCATGGGGGAAAAGTGAACCAGCACAAGCCACTTAATTTCTAAATTTATAAAGTGTGGTGACAAGATTCCATAACTGAGTTACAGAGCAAAAGGACAAAAGAGAGAACTTGAAAGAAGGTAGAACAGTGCATGCAAAGTTAATGGAAAGATACAGAACAAAAGTGAGACTATATTTATGTCTGCAGTGACTCTTTTAATATACATATACTTCTTATAAGGTGGTATTTGCATACAATTACAGTTCTCTAAGTGCCACTTTTCTACATGATGACAAATCTCATGCAGTTGTCATTGAAATTCACTGTTTTAGCAATGAGTTTCAAAGCTGAGTTTCATCCAATTCCTTGCTAAACTAAAGAAACAGGCAGATTATTTCACCTTCCATCTCCAGGGGTGACGCTCAAAGGCCAAAGGGCTTGGCTTTCTCAAACTAGAATTACTGACCTTAAGGAAAAAGAAATGGAAGTATCAGAAAGAGGGGTAAGGCAGAGGAGCAGGAAGAGATCAGAAATAGGAAGCAATCATCTCTCCGCTTCCTAGCTGAATACGAGCAAAACAAAAGACGACCAGCCTAGACTTAGAACATCAGGATTGGATATGAAATAGCCTTCCTATAATACTGCTGCTACTCCTCCAAAGCAATGAAAAATATAGCCTATGATATGTAGACACTGGTGTAAAAGTTTGTTTCAGCTGTGAGGTCTCTTTATTCTAAATGTGCCATTTCCCTTGGATCTACTTGTTTTTAGAGCAGGACTGAGGAGACCTCAAGCTTACAGAAACAATGTACTTTGATGTTGGGTTTTTTTTGCTAAAAATCCAAGGTTCTTCCTGTTTGGCCAAATGAAAAACAGTGTCTTAAGACTTGGAGAACAAGGTACCTATGGCCATATGTTCAACCTAGGAATCTGAACTCAATGCTCACCGTTTTCTCACCCATAACATTTTCCTATCTGTCTATCCTTCTCCCTCCCATCTCCATTGCTAACGTTCTTCATTTCAGCAACATAATTTGAGTTGTGCATGATAGTCATAAGTAAAAAAAATGCTTGCTGATCTTTTGTAGATCACCCAGATTTACAAAAGATATGGGCTGCTCCACTGTACATACCTTCTATGTACAGTGGAGCAGCCCATTGGCACCAGAGGAAGAAATGGAAAACAAGGCACTCCACTGGGTCTGTTGAGGGATCAACTCCATTTCCCTCAACTGTTATTTTTAGGCTGGTCTTTATAAGAGCTTCAGAATTTTAAGAATGACTGTTTACTTGTTTTTCCCATGCTTTCCGTTTTATGTCATTTTTTGTACTGTCAGTATAAGGGCAATAACTATTTGTTGTTACCTGTCATAAAATCAAGTTTGATATATGAATGAGGGACCTCCAAGACATAATGACACCAACAGTCCTGATCAGGTACAGCAAACAGAAGTCAGTTGTAGCTTCCCTGACTGTGTCTATCAGTCTGCAGTGTGGTCTTCCTTTTTCCTGCTGCATCTCACTTCACCAAACATGTCTTTTCTAATTTGCCATGTCTTCTCATAATATGGCCAAAGTATGATAGTATCCGTTTTGTGATTTGGCTTCTAGAGATAATTCACCAAGGATTACATTGCCTCAGACAATTTAAACTTTAAAGTGGAGAATGAAAACATTTAAAATAGTTCAAGATTTTTCATATCTTGGTTCAATCATTAATCAGAGAGGAAGGGATGGCATTCAGGAAATGAGAAGACTAGGACTAGGAAGGGCAGCTATGAAGGAATTAGACAAGATCCTAAAGTGTAAAGACATATAACCAAATGCTAAATTTAAGATGGGTACTCCCCATTTCTATGTATGGTATGGTTATGAAAGCTGGACAAAGAAAAAAGCTTAGGAAGAAAATCAACTCATTTGAGATATATTGCTAAAGAATTCTGCAGTTATAGTGAACCGCCAAAAAGACACACGTATGGGTCCTAGAGCAATTCAAGCCTGATCTTTTCCTGAAAGCCAAGATGAGAAACCTGTGGTTGTTGTACTCTGGACATATCATGTGACCGCATGACTCACCAGAAAAGATGAAAATATATGGTAAAGTGAAGGGCAGGAGGAAGAGGAAGATCTCATTCCAGATGATAGGCTCAGTCAAGGAAACCATGGCCCTGAGTCTGCAAGATCTGAGTGGGGTTGTTGAGGACAGGGTGACTTAGAGGTCTCCCATTCATAAGTCAGCGTTGACTTATTTAACAACAAATCATAACAAAGTTAACAACGAATAATCTGAAAAGAGGTTTAAAATGCCTGAAATAAGTAAATCACATGTACATTTCATGGGCTTCTCTCCTTGTCCCCAGTGTCATAAAAGGATGGGGAAAATACAGCAAGATAGACAAGTTGGTACATAGCGAAAAATCAAAACACTGCCAATCCACCTGTGCAAATAGATGCCCCTTTCTTTAAATCAGTGGTTCCCAACCTGTGGTCCGTGGACCACCAGTGGTCCACAAGAATGAAAATATGGTCTGCGGCCTCACCATTACACAGTTGTCTCAAAACCATGTGGCAATGAGAGCAACTGGTCTTGTGAAACCCTCTTATAGTTTTGAGGCAACAGGGATGTCAGGAGGGGAGATGTTGACTACCCACGGAAGATTAATACTACCACCTGAGCTTCAGATTATTAAATATGGTTTTCTGTGGGCAAGCAGATGGCAACTCTTGGATGGCATATGTTCTATATTAGAAATTAGAGCTTATGTGGTCTATCCAATGCAATTTTCTGAATCAGCACCCAAATAACCAACCCAAATCAAAAGTTGATAAAAAACAGATTCTAACCCCTTTGGTACTAATATTGGAGAGTAGTCCCTGGTCAAAGTGGTCCCTGTTCAAGTGGTCCTAGGTAAAAAAAAAAAAAAAAAGGCTGGGAACCACTACTTTAAACTAATGACAGAAAGGCCCCAAACTAGGCCAGCATAGAGAGGTTTCTTCTGAAACCCTGCCATCTCTTCCAAGAGCAGAGTTAGGAAGCAGCCTGGGGTAATAACAACATTCCTGGTCTATTACAGAGAAGACGTTACTCATTCCAAGTAATGTGTTGCAATGTAATGTGTTGAATCCAAGCTTTAGGACTTGTCAATTCTTCGACCTTTTACAAAAGCAACCACGAATGCCTTTAACAATACCCTTTGTGTATAAGCAGAAATGACCAATGTAGGTGGAATCAGCCATTTTATAATTAAATAATAATATCTGGAACTGAGAATTAGTTAAGTTGACTAATCCAGGTGATATATATATTAACCTGCTTTTAAGAATAAGGGAGCCTGCTAGTTGCACATTACATACTACTGATTTCTATTTTCAGTGTATTAAAACACAGAACATGAGCTCTCCTTCCAGAGAGGGCGATTGTCTACTTCACCCAATAAAATATAAGAGGTGTGGTATGAGCATTTGAATGTCCATAATACAGATTTGTAGCATATTGCAATTCACAACTGAAAAATGAATCTGAATGATACTCCTGAAAACTACCTTAAATGTCAAACATGAGTAGATTGTTTATATCGATCTTTTGGTTTTTTCCTATGTCATAGGGAAACGCTTAGTAGCCAAAAAATATTTTGCTAGATACATAATGGCATGCCACATTTCTGTATTACTGATTTCCAACTATATATTAAAGAGATGGAAAGACAGAAGTAGAAGCGGATAAAATGGGAAAATATATATCCTCCACATTAACAAATGCTCAACAAATCATTGCAGGACCTTTTTGGAGTGTGCAAGATTTGCTCACCTGAAGAATAGGTACAAAGGGATGAAGTGTATGGCCAGCAGGTAGAGCAGGTGGATAAGTAGAAGCATAGACAGGTTCCTAGATATTGGGGGAGAAGTATACGGGATAATTAGAAAGAAGAGGAGATGATGTGCAAGAAAGTAGGGGAAGTAAACCATGATGGTTTTTATGACACCACTTCAAATCTTCTCCCCATATAAAATATGCTATAATCAGAAAAACATATAGTATGTTTACTGAAGCCATTCCCATGCAACACTTAAAAGGATTAGTGATAAGAAAGTGCTCTGAACAAAGGCAAGCAAGCATTGTGAAGACTACATTCAACAAGACCCATTAGCCACCAAAGCAATGCTTTCACCTGGCAATGTATTTTATTCCTTACTAGAACAAAGAACCGCCTGTAATCCTAAAGAAGAACAACATACTTTTTTTGGTCCACATCTACCAGAATCCCTGCAACCAGTGGTTGTGCTAGCTGTGGTGGCATTGCTAGGAGTTGTAGACCCTGAAAGTAATATTTGCAAACTATTCTACACCACCTTAAAAAAAATTATAGTTGGATGGGAATGCACCTAGGAAACAAATCATGAGACAACTGCTTAATAGCCTCTATGCATTTCGGTAAGGCTTACCCAAAGCAGTTTAGACATGGCATTATCATCTGCAATTCCTCCTTCTTCCTACAGGTTAAAACAAACAGGAAACATTGCAGAGAGTGACAGAAAGGAGTAGCGGCACAAAGTAGCTTGCATTCCAAGTGCCATTGCCCCGTCTGATTAAAAGTCTCAGTGGGTGCGCTCCACATAAGGAAAGCTTTAAATTCCACAAGCAAAGCAGGTTGCCGTCTAGTGACTAGATCCATGCTGCATTTGCCAGCCCTGGTTTAAGAATCAGCCCCTTATATAAGAATAGATGCTAGCTCAGGAAGTCTCTGCCCTAAGGGGAGCATTTTTAGTCTCTGTTATTATATTCCCCTTTGGAGTTCTTTGTTAGAATGAAATATATTTCAACCCCTTTCTGCTTGCTTAATGAACCTGGCAGTATGAGCTGGAGTTCACTGAATACTCTGGAACTCTAAATTGACTTGGGAGATTATCACACCAGTCTCTAAACTGTGTTGGAGGCTCCCTGGAAATGAATAAAAACACTTTTTACTGCGCAACATCATTTTATTCTCGTCACAAACCAAGTTTTGCCTCAAACTTGTATTGAATGAAAATGGGTTTTCTCTCTCTTTTAGCTTCTGAATGAAAGCTTCTGTTTTCATTCAGCTTTACGGCATGTATTTTATTGTGGAGTAAGATAACTGTATTTCACAGTGCTGAAAGAAAGGATTTCAGGGATTGCACAGCTTTGAACATATAAACTATTGATGTTGTGTAGTTCTTATATAAAAAAATTAAGTGTGTGTGTGTGTGTGGGGGGGGTACATATGAAAACAGGTACAGTACAGATTGGGAGGAGTCATGTCCTGCACTGCAGTAAAGCCAACACACCCAAAGCATGTTCAAAAAGGAATTGTAGTAAGAAGAGGGACTTGACAGACCTGCTACCATCTCAGCCAAGATGGGTTTACCAAAGGAGAACACGTTTAACGAGACACGTGTGATAATGTCCTAGGAAAGAAGTGTGTGCCTTTCAGTGAAGAGATACTTCACTTAATGAAATAGAGCTGAACTTTTTCTGGTAGGATTATGAACATGGGGGGAGAAGAAGATGAATGATGGAGAAGATAATATGAAAACCAACTAGGTCTAGTTTCAGTTTCATTCCTATTTAAAGACTTAGATATTATGAATCAAATGCAACTTTCAGCAGAAAGTTCATTAAGCCGATGAGCTCTAGAAGATAATACAAAATACAATATAAAATTATTATTACTAAAAGCAACGTCCTGGAATATACAATCACTATGGCTCACATTTCTGGCAACATGAAGTCAATTCCAGTAGACACATTCCCTTAATGTATGCAAAAAATGTCATACTATTTCAAAACAACATAGAAAAAAACCTGTACATATACCATTTGTAACACTTTTCAGATTTAGGTGTATTTAATTGTAAAGTTCATCAACTTTAAAAATACTTTCTGTCTTAAACTATTCATGAAATGTAAAAAAGTACAAGTACAAGGGTTGATGCTTTCTATGTTTTTTTGATTGAGAGTTAACCTGCCTGAACTAGTCTGAGGTGTTCTTAATGCCTGGAAAATCAAAGATGTTACCAAGAGGCAAAGTGGCTAATACTCCTCTAAGCGTTTAGATACATTCATGTCATTGCCCCAAAGCATTGCAGATGTGCAATCTTCAGAAGGTTCATTAATATTTAGGAGTGTGACAAATCTCTCCTGCAGGTTATACATGAAAGCACATGCAAATCATACAAAGCAAATTCAGCCACAGGCTCCAGCGCCACGTAACAACATGCAGTGGAGGATGCTTCTCAACAGCATACATAATTTTCATGAAAGCAAGATGGCCAGCCCGAGTGTTGCTCTTCTCTGAACAATTGTTCTGAACAATTCCCAACATGAAACATCTGTACATCATCAGGGCAGGATCCAGATTTAGCTGTCAATGCAGTTTTCATCAGTATTAGAAATAACTAAGTCATTTATACACTATGAAAGATGCCAGACTGCATGTATTGAATAAAAGCCTTTGAGAAATCAAATGTTTCTGTTTCAAAATAAAGCCAAAATGTTTTCCCACACAAGATGTTTGGGTGAAACCACATTTTTTGGAATGTAAAACCAGTTGGAAGTGGAATAATTGCAATGAAATGGCATTCCACTTGAAACACCTTGTATTTTATGACACATTGAGAAGTCGAGAACAGACATCTACTTGATCACACAGGCTACCCCACTATGGAGAAACAGGTCTGAGCTTCTGTCTGCATGTATGACTCATGATGGAAGATGTTGGGGCTCATGATGGATTGTCATCCAACACCAGTCAAAACAGCCCCAACATCTTCCATCATGAGCATAGAACAGGCATGGGCAAGCCCAGGCCTGGGGGCTGGTTGCAGCCCCTTGGGCTCTTTTCTCAGGTCCTCCTGTCTCTCACCATTCTATCCTTCCTTCCTTCTCTTTCCTTCCTTCCTCCCTTCTTTCCTTACCTCCCCCTCCCTTCTTCCTTTCCTTCCACCCTTTCATCCCACCTTCCTTCCCTCTTTCTTCCCTCCTTCTGTCTCTTTCTCCTTCCTTCTTCCCTTCCTTCCCTTTTGTCTTTCCTCCCTCCCTCCCTCCCCTTCCACCCTTCTCTTTCTCCTTTTCTTCCTACTTTGTCCTTCCTCCTTTCCTCTTGGGAGATGTTTAGCTGGGAGAAGAGAGGTAGAGAGGGAACGTGAGAACCATGTTTCAAGATTTAAAAAGGTGTCCCATTGAGGAGGACAGAGGGGGAAAACTGACTTTCTGCTGCTCTAGAGTCCAAGGTACAAGGGAGCAATGGGTTCAAATGGAAAAGAGATTCAACTGAAAAGATTAGGAAAAAATTCCTGAGAGAGCTGTTGGAGAGTGGCATAGGCTGCCTCAGAGTGTAGTGGAGTCTCCTTCTCTGGAGGCTTTTCTGCAGAGACTGTCTATTCTTAGTGCTTTGGTTATTGCCTTCTTGCATGGCAGGGGTTGAACTGGATGGCCCTTGGGGGTCTTTTCAAGCTCTAGGATGCTAGAATTCTATATCAGGAGTAGGCAATATGGGGTGTCATGGATTCACTTTTTTTCTCCTGTCCACCATCTCATCCTGACCAAGACCAACCCTTTTGAGATCCAAACATTTCCTGTCTTTCCTTCACGTTCTCCCTCCAAAAGAGAAGGGGAGGAAAGGGCAGGGAGGGGACTTGGAGAGACCCCTCCCCTCCTGGCCCACCCATCCCACTCTGGTCCATCATGTGGCCCCCAAGTTAGAAAGCTTACCCATGCCAGGTATAGAATCATGTACAGATATTCTCAATTTGTTCATAATTCTTGCCCAGTTCCTGTGAATTAAGCTTCTGGAGCAATTGTAGTCTCAGAGCACTATTCTAAGTACATGCCAGCTAAAGGTACCATTTTCCAGCAGTTACACAGAGAAGGAACAGATCTGTTTAAGTTTAGAATTTTTAAAAACAAGACTGAGAAGCAATATGTTCCCAAAAGATCAAGTGATTAAAGCATTTTTGTTGGCTCATCATGTGTCTTTTAAGTAATGTAATTACTCAATTAAATTCAAATGGATGTTCTTATTGCCAGAATGCTAGTCCAGCCATGTCCTTGGAACAGTGAAGAAAGGAAAAGGTCAAATTACAGCTCACCCAACAAAAGCTACTGTTCTGTTAGAAAGGATGGGCATCCTCAATATATACTTTCAATGATCCATGATTATATAAATTAACTCAAGCCAACGGAGCTTCAAAATAAGTCCCATATTTTGGGCCCAATCAAACAATGCAGTCCAAAGCAATGCTATTCAGAAGACCAGAAAAGTTTCCTTGCCCAAGTACAAAAATGTCTGTGTTAGAAATTCTTGAGGAGTTAAAACTCTGCTGTATTTCACGTTCAGACCTTGATGACTGTGAATGCCATGCTTCAAGTGTGGCTACAATTTCAAAACAGGCACATTTGCAGTACAATTCCAAGCAACTGCAATACTGAAGTGGTTTCAAGTGGAGTACTTTTCCCTCTAAAAGGGCAACTCTACCTTCTTTGTGAACTGCTCCATCTCTTGCAGCGGAGGGCTACGTTCAACAACAGAGACCCGGCCAAACTCCTGCTTTTTGTTCAGCCTGTTTTTCCAGTCTTCTTCGCCACTCTTCTTGAGGAGAGCAAGCCTACAAGTGAGGAAGCAGAAAGAACACCAAAACATATCACACTGAATTAGAAGGTACAGAACATTAAGTAATACCTTTCTATACTTTTTTCAAGGGGCTTTGTGTGTGTGTGAAGTAACACCAACAAACGGGTTTCAGGGGGCTCAGTGTTGACACACATGCGTGCAAAAGGTCCCAGTTCCATTCTTGGCATCACTAGGATGAGTTGGGAGTGTGTCTTATCCAAAACCTTGGAAAGCTGCTACAGTCATATTGACAATATTGAGTTATATAGACCATCTAGCTTGGTAAAAAGCAGCTTCCTATGTTGGGAATGTGTTATATCTGAAATCCTGGAAAGCTGCTACAATCATAATGACAATATTGAGTTATATTGACCATCTAGCTTGGTAAAAAGCAGCTTCCTATATTCCAAGGAGAATACTACTGAATAGCCAAACCTTGGGCCTCTGGTAAATGTGACATTCCAGAAAATAGGGATGCTGTTTAACATAAATAAAGCTTATAGTTTAGGTAGATATCAAGTACCGTATATAGTCAAGTAGAATTCAACCTCATGCATATGTTGAGGACAGCTTTGAAGTGCCAAAATGATGGATCATGATATGACCCATGGATAAGAAGTGGGTTGTTCCTCAGAGAGAGAAAAGCGCAAATGCCACTTCCTGGTCACTACTGCCATTTTTCCACACAAAAAGGCCAGAATTGGTGGCATGGCAGAGAAAGTAGAGAGGATCAGTGCTTCTTTTAGTTTTTTTCTGGGATCGACTAAGATCCCGCATTTTGTCACTGTACTCAGAGAAGGGAATTATTCCTTTTTGGTAAGAGTTAAGAAATAGTAGTTTCACTGACCCATGGATGTTTACCCAGACTTTTTAGGTTGATTGTTTTGGCCAAAATCTCCAGACTTTCACATGACTTTTTATGTGAAACACTGCCCTCAAAGAAAATTACATGGAAATTGGAAAAATGGATACTCATTTTATGCACCTCAAAACCAACAATTGAGTGATCTTGAATCATTTTTTAAAAATTGTGCAAATTTTTTCATTCTACCAGTAAGACACTTTATTTTGTCTAGCAGAAAATGAAACAGCGGATAGAGAAGTCACAGCACCTTTAGCTATAAAACTGAAATTTGAGGTAGATGGGTCAACTAATGCAGAGAAGCCAGACAAAGCCCATAAGCATCTATTTGTGTTCAGAGAAGCGGTGGTGACCTTTGTTGACCAAGCCAAGTGGAGAGAGAGCAAGCTGCAAGAAATGATAAGTGACCAGTGCTCCTGCCGAACAGGAACTGCTAATTGTAATCAGCTGAAGCAACTCATAGGAAGTCAACAGAAATGGGCCACAGCCTTGTTATTGTTCCTGAACAAAATGGAAATAGTCTATTGACATTGCATTATGCAGCTATATCAGTTCCCTATAACTTTAACTGCCATGGGTCCATCCTAAAGATTTCTTCGATTTGTAGTTTGGCAAGGTGACTAGAATTCCCTGTAAGAAGGCCCTAGAGTTGCAAGTGCTTCACCAAACTACAAATTCCATGATTCTGTAATATTATCATGGCAGTAAAAGTGAAGTAGTGCAGATGTGTTATTGTGTGCCTTCCAAATAATGGCAACCATGAGGCAAACCTATTATAGGGTTTTCTTTGCAATCTTTGTTTAGAGAGTTTGCTTTTGCTTTACTCTGAAGTTGAGAGTATATGGGTTTCCATGGCTGAGTAGGGTATTGAATCCTGGTTTCCAGAGTCATGGTTCTATGCGCAAACCATTACAATATCCTGGCTCTAGACAGTACAAATATACCAAGCTTTTAAAAATCCTGTTGTAGCATGGCACCTCTATATCTTTCAAATCTAATGAGGTAGATAATTATTAAGTATATTGCCCAGTTCAAGAAGTCCACTCAAACTCTTTGGACTGAGAAGATTTGGGGAAAGCAAAGACAGAGAAGAGAACAAAACAGAGACACTGGGTAAAGGACAGACAGACAGACAGTGAATCACAGAAAGTATGGAGCAGAGAGCAGCCACCGCCATTTGCCCTCACAGAGCCAAGCCTGAAACCTACACCAGTGATTGTTGCATGTTTGAAAGGCTTTGAACACTCACCTGTGCCTAATTCAGTAACTGAATTCCATCCTGCTTTCATCCCCTCTTATTCTGTTGCTTTAGAGACTTACACCCATCTCAGTTCTTCTGCTCGATTTCTCCCCCTTGAAAAATACCTTACTTCTTGTCTTTTACCCATTCTAATAGATTTCCTGCAGGTTGTTATTTCTTCTTCCTTTTAGGAAATGGGCAGTTTGTTACATTGGAGGCACCAGACACTGGGTTGTTTGACACTGTGAAGTTACAGTACTGTGATTCCACTTTATATGCCATGGCTGCATCCAATGTAATCCTAGGTAGGGGAATTTAGAAGCCTTAGCTCTAGTCCCTCACTAAACTGTGCATCCCAAAGTATGAGAGGATGTTGCTATAAAAAGTGGAATATTGTGGAATAGGAAACAGTGCCCTATTTGGAGGTCCTATCAGTCTTCAAAGCTGACTGAACCGGGACCCCATAATTTCCTTGATTGAATGGTACTGATAGTACAATTTCTGTGCCTTGTTTATGGCAAGCAAAGTGTTGGTGATCAGTTTTGCAAACCTGTCCTTGGAAGATTTCCTGGAACACCAAAGGGTCTTTCACACTACACAATTATACCACTAAGATCCCACTTTAACTGCTATCAAATCCTCGGTTTTGGAGTTCGAAGAGGCTCTCTAATTGAGAATCCTACAAACCCCTCCCTAAACTGCAAACCCGAGCGTGCTACATAACAGAACCATGGCAATTAAAGTGGTATATTGCATGGTGTGAAAGGAGCCCTGAGATTAGAGTTTTATATCTGGTGGAATGACTGAGTTGCCCAGGAACCATGTTTGTTTTGTTTTGTTTTGTTTTGCAGTTCCCTGGTCCCTTTGTTTATAATGCAAAGTTGTTAAGTATTTGAAGATCATATAGACTACAGTGGTCAATTAATATTTCAAGGAGAAGCACTCTGTACTTGCACAGGTGCACAGTGGTACCCTGTTTTAAAACTAAGGGAGTGATTAGAGTGTGGTTTTCTAGCACTATGTTCATCTTAATTTCACTTGTCTAACTCTCTTTCAAGATCTGCCTCTATTCCATACAGCCATTTATTAACCAAATGGTGTACTTGCTCTCTCCGAGGGCAAGCAGGTGTGTTTCCATCCCTTTCTATTCCATTAGTTATTATGCCTCCCACCCCACATGCTAGTTTCCACTTAGGGGAGTGAATCTGGGGACCAGGGAATGCCCTGCTGCTTAGCTATTGCCCCTCCTCATCTTTCCAGCCACATTTTCCCTACTCCTAGAATCGACCAGTCTCACCAATCTTTATCAGTAGCCTTTGCACCCATTCTGTCAGAATTCCTGCAAAAATAAATAAATAAACAAAAAATCCCCAAGCTTTAGTCATTTTGAACACAATAATAGCAAGCTATTGGTTGCAACAATTAAATATGCACTACTTAAAAGTAAGTCTTAGTGTGCCTGTTTTGTTTTGTGTCAATCTCTAAGCCCATGGTGGCAATGATATACACAGCTGCTTCTGCAGAATAGCAACTGAAAATGTGCTCACACACAATGCTAGCTTTAGTTTCTCCTAGCTCTAAAATGGGAATGTGAAGTAGGAGATACAGGCATACTATATTTCTTTGAATCTTGAGATACACTTTTTTTCCCTCTTATAAACAACTGCAAGAATGAAGAACACCCTAGAATCATGGGTGTTGGATGTTTTTATGTTGGTGATATTCAAATTAGTGTGCATCTTACAATTGAAGGTGTCTTAGAATCAAAGAAATGTGGTATTTTTTCTGTCTCTCAGATTGCAAAACATACAAGAATCACCTGCAATGGAAGCAGTGGCTGAACTTTTATTTCATTATCCCCATTTCTAATCTTCAAAATATGAGAACTTTGCTCAAAGCTTTTGTACTTTTTGTATTACAACTCCCACAGGGGATTGTGGGAGATTCTGAGCCCTAGAATTAAAAAAAAATCTTCCACTTCGGAATTTGGTTAGCTTTGTTTAACACAGCTGGCAATGTATGTGTGTTATTGGAATCTTTTATACTGAGCTCATTTCAGTCTCGGAGACAGTGACTGGCTTTATATGCTGTGTCACCATTTGGGCCTCCCTTCGCTTGGGAGATACTGAGATTCTAGTTCAGGCATGTGCTACCTTTTTTGCCTTTGGGCTGCATCGTGGACCCAACCAAGACAGCTGGGCCGGGAGGCAGAGGGTCTGTGAGAAGGTGGGGCCAGGAGGGGGTGGGTCAGGGCCCAGGTCATCCTCAGGTTGTCCATCAGGCATAAGGATGGGGTTGCTAGCCCCATCCTTATGTTGGGTGGAAAACGAAACATGTGGCAACTGCCGTGATCCTCCTCCTCGATCCTTCTCTCCCAATCTTTGGGCTATCTTCTCAGCATGATGCTGGGAGGAGGGCAAGACAGGAGACAGCCGAGGGTGCTCCGGAGGACTCTTAGCTGCTGCGTGCCTTCCTTGGGCCATCCTCTTGACATAAGGATGGGGCCACTTGCACCATCCTTATGATGGAGGTAGTTGAGACATGCTGTGGCTCAGAGCACTCCAGAGGGCTCTCAGCTTCTGTGTGCCTTCCTCCCCTGTCCTTTCTGCATAAGGATGTGGAGGGCCACCGTGTCCTTAAGCTGAGAAGACAGGGAAAATTAGGAGGGCCTGAGGTAAGTGCCCAGGGGACTGCATCCGGCCCCCAGGCCTTAGTTTGCTCCAGCCTGTTCTAGTTAAAATGCAAACATGCTGCCCCTGCATTTGGGAATTCACAGCAGAGACAGTGGCGGCATCTTGGCTCAGGCTGCCAATGATCTTGGCTGTCTTATCTTGAATATACTAGTGGCAAAGAAGAATGCTTTAAAAGTAAGAGGAACTGAGAGCTCACCTAACTTTAGCAGAATAAGGTATTGCTCCAGTTCATACAAATGCATGGAGTACACCCTTAACGCCTCTCACTTCTCAATCTCAAAATAAAATAAATTTTTCTGCTCAAGAGTTTTGTTTAATTGTCTTGTCTCTTCTGAACTGTTTAGAGCCGCTGCTGAAAATAAACCTAAGTATATGTGTAATGCAGTTTGAGTATATTCTTCTACATATATCTTCATTGCCTTCCTTTGTTATTTGTTTAATCTGCATCCTGTTTTCCTTTCCAGAAAGGATGGCCAAAATAACAAGCAAAATGACACAAAAGACATACATCATTGCCAAGACACTTAAACAAAATGATTATGTGACCGTAAAAATATTACAACAGACTAACATTTGGTTCAAGACCTTAAAGAACATTAAAGAGGATACTAAACATAAAAACATACAAAGAAATAGGATGATAAAATCCCATAAGTATGTACAAATCTACATACTTATATATTCAGTCAATGCGGGCAATGTTATAAAATGGTTCTAACACAGAAAGCCCTTCTCTCTAGATCAGATTAACCTATTTTATGTTAGATTACAAAGCGTAGATTATTTTGGGAAACAAACTTGACTTTTGGATTCAGTTACTCTGTACACATGTCAAGAATAGTGCGAAACTGTCCTAATAGTGCTATTCCAATAGTGAGGTCTGGCCATAATATTTACTTTACAAATGCCTTAAATTATGTGGATTTGGAGCCCCCAGTGGCACAATGGGTTAAATCCTTGTGCTGGCAGGACTGCTGACTGAAAGGTCAGTGGTTCAAATCCAGGGAGCAGGGTGAGCACCTATCTGTCAGCTCCAGCTTCTCACGTGGGGACATGAGAGAAGCCTCCCATAAGGATGGCAAAACATTCGGGTATCCCCTGGGCAACGTCCTTACACATGGCCAATTCTCTCACACCAGAAAGGGTTTGTAGTTTCTCAAGTCGTTCCTGGCATGGAAAAAAATGTGGAATTGTGTAATTCTCCATCTTCACATGGCAAACACTGCAAAGGGGAATCCTAATGCTACTGTTGTCTCTGGAGTAGGAAAGTTTGCTCTGCTCTCTTTTGTGTATACATGAACTTACTTCAACGGTCTCCAAGAAATATTTTTTGTGGCAGAATAACATTGGCTACCACCATTATCTCATTTTCTACTTTTCTAGTTCCTCCCCCAGGTGGGTGGGTCAAATACCACTACACAGAAGACCTTTTGTGCTGAGCAAATGAAACATTGGCATTTCCTTGGTATTTTGGAAATGATACTGCAGTATGTCTCTAACATGAAATGCATTGGTATCTAGTCCTGATTCTGAGCTCCACACACAAATATTACTTGCTTGGTATAAATACACAGAAATTATACTCTGTGGAATATATTAGCTATACCCTGGGGAATATATTATTTCAAGCCAATCTTTACTTAATGCTGTATAATCTAAAAACTATCTTTATGAACATGATTGATATACTTTTATCACTTCCATGCAACCTTTAAACACACAAGTTATGAATGTCTTGGACACGATGCTTCTTAGTGTGTGGACATTATCCACAATAGGAGCCACAGTGGCGAAATGGATTAAACCCTTGTGTCGGCTGAACTTCTGATCTTAAGGTCGACAGTTCAAATCCACGAGACAGGGTGAGCTCCCATCTGTCAGTTCCAGTTTCCCATGCGGAGACATGAGAGAAACCTCCCACAGGATGGTAAAACATCCAGGCGTCCCCTGGACAACGTCCCTGTAGACAGCCAATTCTCTCACACCAGAAGCAACTTGCAGTTTCTCAAGTCACTTCTGACACAATAAAAAATTATCCACAATACAACTTATAAAATGTATATAATACCATACTTCTAGCAAGCAACTCTTTGATGACTTCTTCTGAAGCTCTGACTTAATAACAGATCTAACAGAAGAATAGATCTAATAAGTGAATTTCAGACTACATCTTGAGCATGGTTTACCAAATTTCCAAGTGCACTTTTCCTTGAAATTTTCATTTTTGACCTTTGTTTTCACATGAAGCATTCTTATTTTCAATTGTCGACAAGTTTATAATTTTTGAAAGTACCGATTAAGAAATTCCACAACATGACAAATCTTACTATAAGATGAGAGGAAACCCCACATTTCAAGAAGAAGGGTGTGTTTACCTTTCTTTAATTGACATTGTTTTGCTGGATGCGTCAAGGGTGTCTTCCGTTATTTCAGCTTTGCTCTCCCTGGAGTTCTGTTTCTCCTCCAAGAGCTCAGAGGTTTCCTGCTGCCTACAGGATACCACAGCCGCAGACTGAGAAAAGCTCTTTGTTGCTGCTGTTCCCACAAGTTCCGAAATTGGTGCATCATGCTCTGGGGTGAGGGAGGAGGAATTCAGAATAAGTGCTTAATGGCTTAAAGCAAAACAAATAAAAATAAATCTCATGTCATTCGAACCAACAGACAACTTTTTGTTTCTGGTATAAATTCTTATAAGCTGTACTTATACGGTGGCGCAGTGGGTTAAAGCCCTGTGCCGGCAGGACTGAAGACCGACAGGTCGCAGTGTTCGAATCCGGGGAGAGGCGGATGAGCTCCCTCTATCAGCTCCAGCTCCTCATGCGGGGACATGAGAGAAGCCTCCCACAAGGATGATAAAACATCAAAAATCATCTGGGCGTCCCCTTTGCAAAGTCCTTGCAGACGGCCAATTCTCTCACAACAGGACGCTCCTAACACAACAACAACAACAAAAAAACAAAAACAAAAAAACCCCGTTTCCAAACACAGTGTTTATCAGTTGAAGTTGGATGCTGGTTTTCTACTGCTCTGAACTGGACCAATGAATCCAAATTACAAGTTGTTTTTTTTGGCGTGTCAAGAGCGATGCTCCTGTTGTGAGAGAATTTTACAAGTAAGAAGATGGTGATTAAACATGATAAAGAATTAATGGAAGATGATGGACTCTCTTTCAGTGGATGTTTAAAATAAAGGTTAGATAGCCACTTCCCAGCGTGCTTTAGTGCCATAAGTGGGGAGTTTGGCTAAAATGAGGTCTCTTTCTGATCTGTGATTCCACAATATTATTCTTTATTTCACAAAATCTATAGCATTGTGAAAGCTAGTATCCCGTGGCTTGCTAAGTGATTCAATTACGCAGCCCAATCAAAAAAAGTATTGGTGTCTTGGTTTTTAGGCCTGTTTCCTGGGGTTGTTTGCTGATTCAGAAAATCGCATTGGATAGATGCATTAGCTCTAATTTCTTAGATATGGTTATCATGATGAAAACTGGGATATGGTATATGTTGCGTATCTCAAAAACTAGAGCTGATAGGGGAAAACTGGTGTCATTTTTGGAATCAGCAGGGCAAATATATCCAGAAACATGTTGAACCTTTGAGGCACCAAAATGTATGTTGGCCAGTGAGAAGTTTACAGCACCTCTAATCTTTTCAATGAGTTGATATCTGATGGTGTATTTCTTATCATTTCCAAGATATCAGAACTTAACAGGGCATGTATGAGAGTGTACACACAAACACCCAAATGGGTGCTGAAATAAAACATAATCTGCTCCTTTAATTTAAGAGTTTTTTCTGAAGATCAATGTGCTCACAGAGGGTATAGTATTGAAGTCCATCACGTCATCTGAGCACTGTTGTGTCATATCAATAGAACCACCACCCTGGGATGTGATCGAATATCTTTTGGAGGTTTTTTAAATAGAGGGTGGATAACAATCTGTCAAGAGTGCACTGATTATGTATTCCTTCACAGCAGAATGGGATAAGACAGGTTGGCCATTGTAGTCTCTTCCAACTCTACAAGTCTATGGAAGAAGTGAGCATCTTTATCTTACCCTCCCATCCCACAGAGGCCCTATCCATCCAAGCAAAATGCACAGACCACATTATGTATGTATAGGCCCCTGTCAACTGCACATCCAGCACTGGACATGCCTCTATGGTAGTGGTCTCAACCTGTGGGTTCCCAGATGTTTTGGCCTTCAACTCCCAGACATCCTAACAGCTGGTAAACTGGCTGGGATTTCTGGGAGTTGTAGGCCAAAACACCTGGAAAGCCACAAGTTGAGAACCACTGCTCTATGGGATCTGAATAACATAGTAACAGGCACTGTAGTGAATGAATGAAGGAAGAGAACTTTAAGGTAAATGAAGTGAGGCAGAGATCACATGAAGAAAATCAGAGACAGATCAACTCGGGATAGCAACATGTGGTCAGTGGAATCAGGTGATCTTGGAGAGCTAATCTCATACGCACAACCTATCTATCCATCTGTAAAGGTGTGCTTTACAACCTCAGTTTAGGCCACTTGTAACAAGATGGATATTGTGAGCTTCCAGATAATATCTATGCCTGCTGTACATTCTACATGGTTTGTTTACCTTGTGGCCTGCCACTTCTATCTTCTGGTCTCCTTGTGAAAAAGGCAGGACTCTCCCAGAATAGGAGATTGCAGCCATTCACCCAAACCATACTAGCTGTATTTGCATGTCTTAATTTCACACACTGCTATTATTTTAGGGAAAGTCTAGAAAGAAGATGCCTCAAGAAAATAGGAATAACTAGAGACGATCTTCCCTGTGCAATATTGTATAGAACAGTGCAAGTGATGTCTAAACTTTGTTGTTAAGTTTTAAAAGGCTTTCAAAAACAAATCTTTACAAAGTGTTTTTTTTAAATGGCCTTGTATTTACACTTCCAACAGTTCTCAAGGAGGAAGAAAGTCTAACTTGATTGGAGAACTTGCTTTGCTTGACCACATTCTCCACCACAGAATGGAACAAGGAGAGCCAACCAGGCCTGTGTGTAAGCAAGCCGAGTCTAATCTTTACTTAAAGTAACACATCAAAATGTTTGTGAATGCAAATCAATTTAAGGACCATTTTGGAACAGATTGAAGCAGTTAATCTCAATCACGAGGAGTATCTAAAAAAATAGATACTACACTGCTTGTTTACGAGCGGGCTCTTCTGTACATGTACATGTAGCATGTACGGAAAAAAAAATCTGCTGCTCAATTTCATTTTTTCTAAAAACAAACGAACCTTGTTGTTTAAAGTTTACATGGTTATTTAAACACTATTTTAGACACAGTAAAGAAAAATAATCCAGCAGCCATTTGAAGATTTAAGATCTTTGAAGACCTCCAATTAGTGAAATGAAATCCCTGATTGGCTCCTCAGTAAATGCAAGAAATTTTACTTTAAAACAACCCTAAATGTACACAATCTGCATACTAAAGGGAGCCTGTAGAGCTTATTCTGCAGAAACCCAGTTGAGGAAATATGTGCCACACCCACCAGCATGTCCACATTCATATTAAATGTTAACAGGGCATTTTTGATGGGCTGAACCTTATAGCTAACAGTATTAGTGGAAAGAAAGGTGGGATAAGAATCAGATTTATTCCTTAATTAATTAAACAAACCTATCCAAACGAACTGGATGGACAGCAAAGTAAAAACGTTCTTTGTGGTAAAATTACTATTACAAGGTTTTAAATTACAGACGGACACCAGGAGAGAGCATAATGAATCAATTAACTTTATCTGGCAGGCCATGATCAATTAGGCAGGCTATCAAAAATGCTATTTTAAATAGTTATAACAATGGAGCAATAGATTAAATATTCCTCAACCTCCCACCCTCACACAGGTGGGAATGCCTCTTGAGATGACTTGCTAGGACACATTGTCTAAACACAGTTTTTGTTCCTGCTTTATAAACATGTATTCACATACAAGCCACACCCATGCATTTGAATGCAGTTGCATTTTGTATAATTGATTGATTCCAAGCCACACAATGGAGACGCCAAGATTTCATTAATCAGGGGACCATCACAACGGAAACATTTACCTCTCTGCTGGGTCGGTCGTGCCCCGGTTCCCTCACACTCCATCACATCCTCAAAGAGCTGGCCTTTGGCTTCCCGTTTCTCCTGCAAAATGTTGCTGACCAATTCCTTTTGTTCAGCAGGCTCACTGTGAGGCTGTGGGCTAAACAATTCCATGCTGCTTTTTCTTGGGAATGCATATTTAATCTCTTTGTTGTAGTCCTCCGTTTTATCAGAAACAGGATGTGGGGGCTCTTCCTTAAAGGAACTGTGCTTTTTTAAACCATTCTCTTCACGTTTTACAAATCCCCTGGGCTCTGCCTCTTCACACTCCCTCGACTGGCGCTTGTTCTCTCTCACTTCCACCGAAGGCTGCCACAGTTCTGTTTTCAGGATGTTTTTTAATGAAGTATCCACATTATCTACTAAAGAGTGGTGCCTGAAATCAGGTTTAGTGATCTCACTGGCCAGGTCGTCCTCAGCTGCCTTCACATGCAGATCCTTACTATACACCGGCGACAAGGCAGAGACCATGGTGGAGACGGATGTTACAATAGTGGGAGACAAAGGAGCTATCTTCCCACTATCACTTTGTACCTATGGAACAATACAAATACTTAGAATTGGTAAATAAAAAACAATTTTAATAACAAGCAATTGAATTATCATGTATCTTTAGATAACTGAAAATAGGGGGTGGCTACACCATCAAGGTTCAGGTTTCATAGCAGCAGTAGAAAAAAGAAAGAGGGGACATTTATTTTGTTGCCCATGCCCACTTTCCCTCAGGATCTGGCATTTTCTGAAGCTGTTTTGGGAAACCATTCCTAATAAAAGACAGATCTCAAAGGTTTATTTTTTCATCATTACATCAGTACCTTTTTACAACCACGCCCCCCAACTTGACGTATAATAATAACCATCACTTTATTTTTAAAATAATTTTTGTTAATGCCATATAGCAAAGTTTTACATTCTGATAAAAACAAAGAAAAATGAGAAAATAATAGGTTTACCAAGAGAGAAGAAAAACCAGGGAAAAAAGAAAAATGAAAAGACAGAAAGAAGGAGAGAAAAAATTAAAAATAAAAAGTTCACGTTAAAAAAATAAGTAGTTTGACTTCCATCTACTCAGTTGGTGATTTTATCGTCTTTATATAATTATGTTCTAGGAATTTAACCTATCTTTGTTCTAAATTTTCTGCTTCCCTTTCTTACGGTCCTTGAACTTTTTCCCCTTTTACTTTCTATTCTCTCTTTTTTCCTTTAAAATAATAAGCTCAATTTTTAATCTTCTAAAATAGTCTTTAACTAGGTCCCAGTGTTGGCTAAAGCTTCCCAGAATTGAAGTCCATTAGCCAAAAGCACCAAATACACATACCTGTTCAACTTCACCAAGCGTGACAGGCTGCGTTTGGTATCGAGCGTTTGATCTCCTTTGTCTAATGTCTCCTTTGGTTCTTGTAGAGACTACCTTTGTCACTGGTTGAGATAACTTGTTGAATAAGGCCATCTTCTCTGCCAGGGTCAGGGTAGAGGAGTCTGGTTCTCCAGGCTGATCTTGTTCGAGGGCATCTTTGGCTTCTTTTATTTCTTCTTTAGCAGAAGTCTTTTGGTGTGCAGATGCCTGCAATCTTTAAAGTGAAAATAGGAATTAGTACCTCACATTGCAAACCAAGAACTCTTTCACCAGGGTTTTAGACAAATAATGGAAAAATTATTAAATAAGGAAGCTGCAAGACATAGCAGAGGGAAAGCGAAAATAATCTACTTATGACCTCCCTCCTTATCCACAAGCGGTACCTTCCAAGAATACACACACACACTGATGGATATCTGAAATCGTGGATGATAGCAGATCTTATATTTTGGCTACACTATGTATTTTGAATGTGATGTGGTTTTTGTGGAATGGCATCAAATTGCTGCCGTATGTTAGCTGCTCTGAGTCCCTCAACGACGGAGAGAGGGTAGGATATAAAACAAAGTAAATTTGTCGATCAATGCTTTCCACAGTATCAGAATTTACAGAAGGACATATACTTCCCTAAAATAATTGCATTGATACCAAAAAGTAGCCAGTCTTAAAAATTATACATATCTCTACCATATGGGAGCAGGTGGCTACATACAGTCATAAGCTTAAGGCTAATTTTACACTTTCAAGAGACTAACTGCAATTCCACCCACAATTTTATTTACAGCAGTGCATCTGATCCTTAAGGATCGTCTGGAGACCAGCACATACTTTGCACAAGTTCTTTATCTGGCTGCACCAGGAACTAACAGGGTCCAAAGATCCACATGGAAAATGGATACCCAAATAATCTGGTACTTTTCTCTGTCTTAGATATTCATATTTAGGCTTAAGTAGAACTACAAATGTTACTTTTAAAACATAATGAGCTACCATTACATTTGGTAGTTATTTGTTGCTATTACTAGTATGACTAGTTGCATGACCTTGGAGATGTCTACGGACCACGCCGTTTCTTCAGCTTAGAAATGGAGATGAGCATCAACCCCCATATTCGGACATGACTGGACTTAAAGTCAGGGGAAAACCTTTACCTTACCTTTACCTTACTAGTATGACTTCAATAAATCTTTGTACAGTCCAGTTGCATTTTTGTTATATTTTGTTCCTTAAAAAAAATTGGACTGATAAGGGAATGCCACGGAATTCTAATTAAAAATGCCTCTAAAAATTCCTTAATAGGCAAGTTTAAAAACTAGCAACTTTCACTCTTTACCACAATAGAATAGGATTGAATCCTATTATTAATATTGCTTTTAAAATCTAACTTTGTTGTGCCCTCATTAAAAAAAGGATAGTTTATTACAGGTAATTATGCTACTTGTAATTTGTTGTTTCCAAGCTCTTAGAGATACCCTCTGTGCTACCTGGACATATCCTCAGTTCTTTTAGGGTCTTCCGAAATCTTTTTAAGTGAAGCTCACTAATGATGTTGGGACACACAATCAACTCTAGCATTCCTACTCCTTTGCCTATCATGCACCATCCAGAAATGGAGAAACAGGAAAGATTTGTCTCAGTATTGTGTCAACCGAGGAAGCAGAAGGAACTGTGGAGCAAGTGGGCTACACTGAACTCAGCACACATCAGGTTACTTGGCAAAAAGGCAGTGGCACCATCACATTGTCTTTGTATCCTCTACATTTATTTACTAGGCCTGAGCTTCCTGTTTGTGCACAGATAACACGCAAAGTAGGTCCAGGCTCTGGAGAAAGGACTGTAGTGGTGAATTACTTGCTTTTCATGCAGAATGTACTATTTTAAATCTCCAAAGTCTCCAGTAAAAGACTCTAAAACTCTATTCTTTGTAGAACAGTACATCCCAAACCTGGGTCCCAAATTGTGTTGCATTGGAATTCCCAGAATGGCCATTAGAATTCCCAACCAGAGTGTTCATTGTACAAGGATTGACTCCAACATCATCTGAAGATCCAAGTTTGGAAACAATTGGCGGAGATAATGCTAAGCTGGGTATAGGAAACTTCCCACTTTCCTGCCCTTTGTCTTATTGACTTAAGCAGCTCAATACCGAATTTGAACATATCCAGGAAGACAGATATTTTCTGTCCAATCTTTATTTGGAACACAAAGTATGCAGAGAAGAGAAGATAACCAGATTACAACTTCACATTAGAAAACTGTACTCTAGGCTTCAACATCTGAACCCTGTTCTTTGGTTTCATCACTTGGATCATCTTTTCCCAAATTGCACTAAAATACTGGAGCACCTCATTGTGCCTCAGTAAGGAAGAAACCTCAGGTGGGTTTGGGAAACTGTCAAGAAGAACATAAAAAGGGAGCAATTTTGATCATGGTCTATCTACTCAGCAACAACTGGTTCTGGGTAGCTTAAAACATGAACATCTAGCAAAATGGGCTAGTCAGTGCAAGCAAAAGCCAGGAGACACTAATTAGTCTTTTTGAAGTCACAGGTATCTGTTAGCTTTTATGCAATTTTATTTGCTGATATGGAGTTTTGCTTCTCTTGTCTTTCAGTTATCACTATGAGGTGAGCTGTATGGAATCAAAGAAAGCAGAGGAAATATATGCTCACACCCATAGATGGTGCAATTTCTTATCCTTTCATTAACACTACAATGGAGAAAAACAAGATGTAATCTCTGGACTTTCCTGACTTTAGTCAGGTCTCTCACTCTGTTCTGTATTTGAAAGTAAAAGCCAATAAAAGATAGAAGGCAATGGTGACTTTCCATACATTGGACTGCAATTCCCATGCCCTCACATCATCATGTAAGACTTATAGCAGTGGTTCTCAACCTATGGGTCCCTAGATGTTTGGACTTCAAATCCCAGAAATTCTAACAGTGGTCAGGATTTCTGGGAGTTGTGGGCCAAAACAAATGGGGACTCATAGGTTGAGAACCACTGACTTATAGGACTGAATTCCAACAATATCTGGAAGAACCCTAGTGTCCATCCCTACACCAAAAACTCATGAAGAGGGCAAGAAGAGAAAACAGAAAGACACACAACAAGCAGAGAAAAGTGTAGCTTTTCCAGCCAAACCAGAAGGTGACAAGGAAGAAAAACATTCCTAAAAGTTCCATCAAATTGCTCGACACACTTAAGCCACTTAATTTTATGGATGCATTTGCTAGCCATGACCCTTGTGCTCCCTGTAACATGCAAGATGTGTCCCCCAGTACCTGGTAGGATGTACAGTGCTCTTAACTACAGTGGGATTAGGTATTCTTGCCACTACAGGGTGGGTATTCACAGTACATGAGGCAGGGGTAGGTTCACTTAAGAGAAAATAGCCAAGGGAAGGAAAAATTCACAAGGAGAGAGAAGAGAACAGCATTAAGAAAGGAATAATAGCGTTCACTGCATAAACTGCCAATCCCCTCATTAAAAATACTTGACAATTCTTTAATATAAAAGTTTAAAAGATACTAACAGTATGTAGGAAAATTACAAGTGATCCAAAAACACAGGCCATGGAACAATAATGCAGCAATAAATATATAGAAGCAAATTTCTATAATTTCAGAAAAATCTATAATAGGTCTCCACCTATTGCTTCAAAAACATTCTTCCATTTCATGCAGTTTATACTTCTCCATACCCCTACAGAGCTTTCATAAACCACTGCTTTGGGCTAACTCACAGAATCTGCGTTCTGAGATCTGTGGTCCAAATACTAACTTTTCCAAGCTCTGCCCCATCTCCAACAGCATCTAGACATAACTTCTGTCTTCCACCTCAATATACATTTCTCAAAGATGTTATCCTTCAGCAAAGAAGCCTTTTCCTAATAACTAAGCCATCAGCATTTAATCAGGGGAAATGTAATCATTTCAAAACATTTCAAAATCCAGGAATGTGCCAAAGCTAACATATTTCCAGGACTTACGTAGCTGCAATGACCACTTCTTCAGTTGTAATGGGCTGGGTGCGTGACCTGTCCTGCATTCGCCTCAGTCTCCTCTCCACTGCAGTATTTCTTGAACGTGGTTTAGGAATACCTTTCCCATCAAAGGACCTTTCCATTTCCTAGAACCAAATGTGCACCAGAATGAAAAGCTTTTCCCTAATTCAACCAAAAAAATAGCACACCTGAATATCCCTTATGCCAAATTATCAACAGAATTCTGATCACAAAGCAGACACTTTCACATTTAAGGTTAGCAAAATACAGAACAGTTCCTCTAACGCCTTTAGGATGATTTAGGATTGAATACCCACATCCCCACACATACTCATATATTGAAAGAAATAGAATGCCTACCCTGAAAAGCAACCTCTTTGCAGCAACACTCAGCTTGGCTCTTTCATCCAGCTTCTCTTCATCTACAAAAAACAAAAGTATTTCCTGATACTTCAAATAGATTCCCAGAGCTAATTTTTAGAGGGATTGGATGGCAAAAATTACATTGTCACATGGAGTATGGACAGGCAAAACCGTAGCAGAAAAAAAAGCTTCTGCCTACTGCCTTCTTGAAACTTCAATAACTGTGTGGTCCAAATACTCACTTAGTCAAAGTAGCTTAGACCAGGAGGCTAGCTAATGCATGGTCTGTCAGATAGCTATGCTGAGTTGTCAGGTCCCAAAATCTAGATGCCATTGAACTGCAACTCTTAGCATTCTTCACCATTGGCTATGTAAGTCAGCTATGGATGCTAACAGTTGCACTTTGTTCACACTTCTGTTGCATGATCAATTCTAGGCCCTATGTATAAACTTTTGTTTGGCCCACTTAAGACTACCAAGAGGAACACAATAAGCTTGAAGCATGTACTAAAATGGCCTGTAGCCTATTTGCACTCTTATACGTTTGCAATAGATTTTGACATACACATCCCTGAAGGGCTACCCTGCCGCCTCCCCACCAGCCTATAGAGAATTATCTCTGGCAAGGGTGTCACCAGCAGCCTCTAAAAGACCAAAAAGAGAAAATCTGAAATAACTGAAAGAGTCGAGAGAGAAGACACTTACCATCAGTAGCTATCATTTCTGGACTGAATGCAGACCTGTAGAGATCACAGAGAAAAAAAAAGTAACAAATCAGTTTGAGGGCAAAAGTAAGTCATACATTTCTAAACTGAATTATCAAGAGGGACAGCAAGTAGAATATAATTCAGAATGTATTTTGAGTTCCAGTAATATTTCATTTACAATGACCCTTGAAATGGGAAGGCAAGCAGTTCCAGCCAGGTGTGAGTTGCATGAAGGAGAAGAATGTCAGTAGTCTCATAAAAAGGTCAACACATAAAATACTCTTCTGGTTGTTATAGCACTGACTTTTGGCCCAGTGTCTGTAATTGGTTCTTTTTCAAAAGAGTCTTACCTTAAAGCATAAACATGAAAATACTCTTTCTGTGCACATAGATACATTTCATTCAGTGCAAACTCATACTACCACTTCCAAGCAAATACCAGACTTATAGAATAATGAACACTGGCCGCAACTCTTACCTTAACTGAGCAGTATTAATAATACATTAAAAATAAGCAAGACCTTGGAGAAAGTAGACTGATTTTATTGCAATGAACTGTTGGTCTGGATAATGCCACCCCTGGGTGCTCTGCTACACAAATGCCTACCTATCTGTTTCCTTTCGTTCTGCTGAAGTTATGGGTTGAGTCCTAAATCTCTCAGAAGTTTTTCTATTTTCCCCAGGAGAAAAATAGCGTCTTGGCCTCCGTGACCCTCTTTCGTGTTCAGCACTGCCACACAAATCAGTACCTGATGTTGGCATCTCAAAATGAGACTCACTTTTTGCCATTACAGAAATCGTGTAGAAGGAAACAAAGAATTAGGATAGAATTGGGATGGGACAGGAGGGAGAGAAAAAGGAAGAGGGAGAAATAAAAGACAAATATAAGCATCCCAACAAGTCAGTCCATTACAGATCATTCTTCATGCTCCTAGAAAACCATGCACAGGAAAAGTACAAAGTCATTCCATTCCAGCCTCCCAACATCAGAACTTGCACAAAGCAAGCAAAAGCACAAAAGAACACGAGAATTCAGGCCAACTCCACATGAAAGATGCACTAGATGGGAGTTGAACTGTGAACGGAAAGTGCAGCAAAAGGCAACTGATGTTGAGTTTTGAATGCCATTTATGCCAAGGACGTGCATGTGTCACACCATTAAAAAAATAAAAATTCAGAAAACATCACCTACAGTTCAGGTTTCTTGCTGGCACTGGCAGTTTCCAAAAAGGCATTGCGAAGTTGAGCAACAGAAACTTTAGTGTCAACCATGGTAATTTCACCGTTAGGGATTTTTCCTTCAGTGCTCCGAAATTCCATCTCATTCTTTGCAACATGCTCCTTACTTTTGAAAACTTCTAATTTAGGAGAACCAGTATAATCAGACAGGGAACGAGTAAGGACTTTGTGCCTCGCTGGAATCTCTTCCCGAACCTGAACTTTCCCTTTAGTGCTTTGGAGATACATGACTTTTTCACTCCTTTCGGTGCTCTCGTGAGTCTTCATCAAAACTCCAGGCATCCTCTGCCTCATGCGCTCTAAATCTCTCTCAGGTTCCATAGATTTTGGCTTGCTCACTGGAAGTATCTCGGCATCACCTTCTCTTGTGCGGCTCTCCCTGCTCTTCCCTTGTCTATGGAACGCTGAAGGCAAAATTGGCTGTCTCTCCGGCTCATTCTCCAAACTGGAGTAATTGAGCTTCAATGGTTCATGAACCTGAGGCAAGTCAGTTTTTCCATTATCCATAGAAGCATCCAGTGGGAATCTGGTTAAGAAGTTAGCATTAGCTGGTTCCAAGTAACTTTCTCGTTCTTCTGAAGTCACCAGCTTAGCTGTATGAGCAATTCCTGCAGGTTGGATGTAGCCATGCACTGGTCGGCAGAGCAAACCAAGTGGCTGATTGGCCACCCTATGGAAGGCAGATGTTTCTGACTGAAGAGGCACGAAATTAACAGGCACTGGGCGAATCTTTCTTTGAGTGTCTGTTACGAGTTCAGGGCTTCCACGAGTATTTTCCTCTTTCACCAGTTTCTCTCTAACTTTTACTCTTTAAGAAAGAAAAATGGATTACAATGTGGCATGGCTACAACTCAGTTGGAGAGAAAGAGAATGAGAGAGAATGAGTAAGAGAGAGGAAACAACATGCACCAAATTGGGGGAGATTTAGCAACATTACGTATTAATTACTGTTAAACTAGATGATGAGTGGGAATATTAGTGGACATTCCTAACAAATGGACTCTGCCAAATCCTAGGCCACAGATATCAATGAGGTTCCAGGACATTATGTTCCGTGTAGCCACACTTCTGTCTACATCTGTTTTCATGCTTTGCATCAGAGTTTTCTCGGTAATTTATAGTCTGCTGAATCCAATTTGCCAAAGAAGAAATGGAAATAAATACGGCCAAATGGGGGAAAAAATCAGAAAAATAATGCTTTCATTAAACTACAAATTCAACTTTAATTCACGAATGGCTGCTTTATTCTGAAATGTTTTCCAATACTGGCAGCGCTCATGCTTATTGGAGACCAAAAACAAGTGAATGCTTTCTTACCATTTTCCTTCTTTTTCTAATCAACATTAAGAACAAATCATGAAAGGTGAGAAACAAGATGATTCAATTTTAAGTGTAAATAATGAGAAATTATTATACTCATGAAATTATTACACTCATGAAAACATAACTTATTCTTAAAGATATCTATTTCAGTTTTGACTGATGCAGTGTATGTCTAGATTGCTCTTTTCCTCAGCAAAATCAGGAAGAATGCAAAACAGAGGGAAAAACATTCTTGTTCCTGTGTATTGCTGAGAAAGCTGAAAGCACGCGTGCTGCCAGCAAAGGGGTGATAATATGATACTATGTATTCTGTTATTTGTATCTTACATTCTGTTCTTAAAATAGCCAAAAAGATGTGTATGGGTAGTCTATATGCAGGACATGAGTTCAGAAGACCCTACCTACTCATATTTCTCAAAAAAATTATAATCAGATGCATATTGCTATCAACAGTAGCCATCATCAGAAGTATGCACCATTAATCTGCCTGATTTCCCTTAAAAGCTGACTAAGCCTGAAGCCATCATTACATTTTGAAGTAGCAAACTTCCATACTCTGAGTACTATGTGAAGAAGCTCTTCCTAAGCAAAAGTATTGAAAAACAAAATCATACAGGAAAACAAAATATGAACACAAAATTAATGGAAGATGGGATATGTTGGCTGTGTAGTCCAAGGAGATGGAAAACTTGGTAAGTCTGGTGGACAACCTCTACTGCACCTGACTTAGGTCTTACCATCTCGTAAAGTGGAAATAGCCACAAGTCCACTCCTGCTTTCCTAAAACCTTATTTTTGATCAAAAGAAAATATATGTTTTGGCACACTTCTTTTATTTCCTAGAAGGCTCCAAGAATGTGAATATTAAATTTGGACCAGATTTGAGGACATACAGGGGCCACAAAATACAGGAGGAACCTCTCATATGTTTCTCACTGCTGAAGTAGTTAGCAATTACATTATAAGCAAAAATAGAGCCTGTGCATTAACAGCAGTCTCCAGATGGGGTAAAAAAGGTCTGGTGTACACTGTGTCTTGGTTTTTGCTTGCACAATGAGATTTTCTTTCTCTTTATAATGGTCTGAACCTTGCTAATATCTACTCTAGAATATCTCCCAACCCTTTAGAGAAGATTCTTAATACACGCAGAAAAGCTGTTTGGGTAACTCTCCCCTTCCTGTTTCAATGATATCAGAAGAAAGGGTAGTTTGTTTCCACCCTATGTACTTGTGTACCGACACCGAGAACCCTAAAAATGAAACTGAGTTGTGTAGATATAAAGCTCCCAATATTATAACAACAGTCAGGAGGCTGACAGAGAATCTGCTGTTTTTTTCCCTAGGCACTACCTACTGAGTTTCAAATTCTTCCACTGGCTTAAAGTAAGGGTCATAGGCTCTACCTATAGTTAATTTTAACCAGGATCTCAATTAAGGTTTAAAGCTGGTTGGCAAACTCTGGCTAGCCAGAACCATGGTTACACATGGGAATTTATGTAAGATGCACAATTTATATCTAATGCTCTATTAATTATAATTTCAACCCAAATGTGGTGTTTCCAAAGTTTGTAACATCACCTCCTCCTTTTTTTTATGAACACACACTGTTTGGAAGAGTAAGTGTCCAAATATTAAATTATTAGCAACAACAAGGAATCTTATTGCTAGTGTATTCTACAGTGGTAAACAAATGGAACTACCTTTTAACAACCCATGTCACAAAATAGTTCACCTATTGTCTATTCATCCAATTTTTAAAATTAGGGACCCATCCTTTGAGATATGAATTCATCTATTTATAGCATGAGTTGTAGGCGTAAACATGCAAAATAAGAGTGTGACTCTCATATTGATGGGACCAGTAGGTATGGTTTCATATACCCATATCTGACAAAATAGGTCCTCTTTGGGCATGTTCGAGGTCTACCAGGTGACTCTATGCTATGCTTCTTTCAGACATTGACATATTCTATGATATGGGCCAGAGGTTTAGCACAGCTGGTAAATCACCAGCAATGCTAAGGTCTACCAATCGAAAGGTTCTAAGTTCAAAGCCCCAGGTCAGCGTGAGTGGCCGACTGTCAGCCCTGGTCACTGTTTTTCCCCCCTCTGGGTGTCCCCTGAATAACATCCTTGCAGACGGCTAATTCTCTCACACCAGAAGAGACTTACAGTTTCTCAAGTCGCTCCTGACATGACAAAAAAAGCTGTTTACCTAAGCAGTTCGAAAACAGCTTTAGCTGTAATTAGAGAAATTCGGTACCGCTAAAAAGAGGGGAAGGTGTTTTACAACGCCATAAAGAAGGATCAGAAAATGCTGGGTAACCAAAAGAAAGAAGGAATTCCTGACGGCTCTTTGTCATAGAGGATGGAGCAACAGCACCCCCTGTGGCTGGACTCAACCTTCCACGGCATTGAAACGACACACTTAGTGCTTTCAACATTCCAGGCATTTTAAAGACTGATGCCTTGTTGCAATGCAGACCACAAGGCACGAAAAATGAATTAATGACAGGTCAAAGGCAATACTTGAATTTCGACATTGTATACAGATTATGAGAAAACGTTAGGATCAATTCAAGTGCTTCCTCCAAAAACATCCATTAGTTGTAAGTGACAAAAAAACAAAAACAAAACAAGAATTCCCAGGAAGAAAGGGAATTAATCCCTGAAGTTCATTAAACAAACTGATTTTACATATCCAGTGCCATTAATGATGTCAATGATGTTTGTTAAAATGATAGTGGAGGGAAAAGGTCAAGGGAAGGTAACAGTCTGGTGGTTATTAATACTATTATTATTGAAGCCACACAACTAGGCGGTAGGATACCTGGAGGGCCAGTTGATAAGTGAAGCTGGTTCCCCATCCGAATCTTTCTGAAGAAACCAATCGGGTTTCGTTTTCCCTGAACTACTATAGAAAACAGAGCTTCAGAAAAAAATTCCGGCAACATGTCAACACATGCACAATTTCTCTATTCCCCCTGGTTTAATCTCAAACAGTTTTTGTGTGATTCATAACAAGAATTTGTGCTACAAAATGGAAAAGCCAGGCTTGCAGTTTAAGAATAACTGCATGTGAATATTATTAGGAACAAATTTATAAGGTCCATAGAAGAATTTTGTTGAGGGGGAGGGGAGGCTACAAAATGGACTGTAACGCCTACATACTGTTTTTGTGAAATCATGCATTCAAAATAATTTTTCAGACTGGTTTTATATTTAATCTGAGGAATACATGCACAAAGAAAAAAGGCAGCACCACCATCATATTAATAAAGGCTATATGACTTTATTTTGAATGTTCATTTTCAAAACCAGGGGAAAAGTTAAATGAATAATAAAGGGAAAGGCATACAATATGGGAGGGAAGGATTCAAATATCCTTAAAAAATGCCCTTCTTTAAAATGTCTAGTCAGAAGACTCAACCCATCTCATAACTATAATCTAAATTAGAGATGGAAAACGTGCAGTCCACAGATGCATGACATCTATATGCCAACAAATTCTGCAGGACAGAAAAATGGTCAATCACACTGATGATGAAGCCTTTGGTTATCTGGAAGGTAAGTACAGCTCTTTTAAGTCTATATGAGTCTTTCAGGAATGACTACTAAGGGAGCAAGTAAATGAGCCTAAATGGACTATTGCATAATTTGAATGCTTCAGAAGTACCAATGGTTATTTTCGTAGTCAATTTCCCCCCAAACTGTTTTTTAAAGGGACACAGGGTTGAAAATAGGAGGCAACCCTTCAGATCCATAAGTAATAAGGCACCCAACTTCTGAAGCTGCCCAGTAGAATCCTTTACTTTGCAGAAACTTTCGTTTCTGTTCTTATTTTGTTCAAAATGGAAATATTTCATTGATGTTGGAGAATCTAGGTTAGAGATGGACAACACAGTTTTCTTTCAGTGATTTTCTTTTCTTTTTCCCCACTTCATTAACAAATTCATCGGGTAACCATAAATCGACAGGTGACTTCATGGTAGAAACCCACAATATTTCTTTTGCCCTGTGAACTCTATGGGAACAAACAATTTTTCATTTACTTAGTCCTACTTTCTTGAAAGAAAAGGCAGGACTAAATACATAACCTGACAGTAATCCAAAATGGAAAGCCATCACTAAAAATCCTCACTCAAAATTTCCAGTGATCAAACAATTAGCTATATCAAACCAGATTCCTTTAATGAATATTTGAATCAGTCCCCCCCCCCCCTTATTTGCATTGGGAATTGTGTTAATCTTCACAGACAGCTATAAATTATACCATACCGTGGAAAAATGTGACAACAATGTTTTTTCCCCTCTCCGCTAGCCACCATTCCTGTCTCAAGGAACTGGCAAGACTCTTACCAGGCATGGAAGCATTTTTTGTGAGAGCTGACTGGCTTAATCTCTCTCATAGAGAAGCTTTAGCTGACCGGAGATGCAGCCAAAGTGGAAAGAATGAGGGAACTACACTAATCTCACTGAGAGAGCTCTGCTCCAGATCTGCTTCATGTGCAGGTTACTCTGATCTCTACTAAACCCCTAGAGTATGAAAGCTCATTTATATTGAATTAACAGCCTATGTGTGCAGGAGCACATGTGTGCACATGCATCCCCTGGTACAGATATGGGCAACTTGGGGTTCTCCGGGTCTCTTTCATACTATATAATGCTAATATTTTGATGCCACTTTTAACTCCCATGGCTCAATCTTATGCCATCCTGGAATTTGCAGTTGAAGTATTTAGAAATCTCTGTCAGGGAGCTCCTTTGTCTCACTAAATCACAAACTTCAGAAATTTCTTAAGAAATTGGGCTACAAAGTGGAATCCACGACATGTGAGTGTGGAGAAGCACAAACCACTAACCACTTGCTGCAATGCAACCTGAGTCCTGCTACATGCACAATGGAGGACCTCCTTGCAGCAACACAGAGGCACTCCAAGTGGCCAGATACTGGTCAAAGTACATTTAATCAACTACCAAGCATGCAAACTTTGTGTTTTGTCTGTTTGTTTGTTGGTCTTGTTAAAAATGTAATACAAATGTCTGGTTACTCCTGACACGATAAATAAATACAAACTTCAGAATTTTGTGGGATGTGATATTCAAGTGAGATCATTATATAGTGTGAAAAAGACCCCGATCTGCAATTACCAGCATCACTAATCCCTATACTACCTAGGATTAATAGAGGCTACAGTCCAACAGTGTCTGGAACCACACATTGAGCATTGCTTTAGAACAATGGTTATCAACCTGTGGCTCCCCAGAGGTAAACTGGCTGGGATTTCTGGGAGTTGTAGGCCAAGACACTTGGGGACCTACAGGTTGAGAGCCACTGCTTTAGAAGAAAAACATATACAGAAGTAACTGAAATTGGAATGCTTTTGAAGAGACACATCTCTGGCTCCAGAAGACATTGAAACCAGTGAATCAGCAGTTGATACCATATCAGTAATTCCCTCTCTAACAAAAAAAAGAGTTTTTCTTGGTGTCTTGCTTTTTAGGCCTGTTCTTAGGGTTATTTAGAGCACTAATTCAAAACTTGCATCAGCTTCAGTTTCTTAGATATGATTTATCATGATTTTCTATAGGCGAGCAGATGATGACTGGTAGATAGAACGTGTTCTGCCTCTCCAAAACTAGAGCTGATAGAAGAAAACTGGTCCCATTTTTGGAATGAGCAGGTCAAATATACCCAGAAACAGGATTAACATTTGAGGCACCAAAATGTGTGTTGGCCAGTGTTATTTGTGTAGTACCACAAAGATTTTGGTGTGGAACACTTTCCTGATGGTCCTTTATTGTCCCTTCATCCTTTTCACTTCCACCTTGTTAGGGTTCTTTCTTATGCTTAGCGTGTGATCTCAGGTAATCAGGGATCATGTTGCAAACACGATGAGCTAAATCCAATTGTTCATTACAACTAGAGCAGACCACTGGATCAAAGGGAAGTTGTTAAGTTGACTCTTACATAAACCCCCAGATTTGGTGGGTCTGCCCTACTTGGGACAAACAATTAAATTTATCCCAATGGCATCATAACATGATGTCGCCAATCAGATATGGTTCCATGTGGAGAGCAATTAGGACAAATGAAGCATGTTTCCAGAATAAGCTAGTGCCTTCATCCCCTTTCCTAGCAATCCCACAGAGTGCTGAATACCTGAATGGTTGGATGTATGTGCCTGAGAGAGAGGTCAACACAGCTGAAAACATTCATGAACCGCCAGCAGCATTGTAAAAAGGAATGACTCACACTTCATCAACACTTTTACCTACACAGATGTGTAATTTAATCGCTACATAGGAGAGAAGTAACCTGATATAAATTACTCTGGGAAAGATAGTATCCCTGTCATCCCAAGATACTCGTAAAATCCTGACAACCACAGGGCTTAGAACCTTATTTCCTTGATACTTTCTTAGTTCATAAGGTGAGAGGAGCTGTTTTAAGCCTAAAGAGACATCAGTTGAGAACAGCAACTTTAGTGTTATCTCTGTCTGCACAGCAAAGACACCAAGAAAGAGGGGTGACTGAAGAATATATGAGACTTTGAAAAGGCTACATCCACCTGCAGCCAGTTTACAGTCCCTACCAACACTGATGAATGTCGCAATACACAATCTACTCAAAGTGAAATACTCACGCTTAGGATTTGTCTCACTGATTCCAATGATGTTATTTATAAAGGATGTTATTTATTTCCTTATTGCAGAAAGGAAAGAAATGCAAAGAACTGTAGGGCACAACATGGAAAACTGATTGCCTCATTGATGAAATCTTCAGACTCTTTCTCTCTCTCTTTTTACAACTTTTCAGTGTGATGGGAGGCACTCTTCCCTTTGAATCTAGGACACATGCAAACACTAAACACTCTGGAGAGTAAGATCTCTCTGTGACCATGGTATCAACTTGGAGGTAAAGCAACTTCACTGGAGCATTCCACCAGCAATTCTTGTCTACACTAAGCAGAAGCTCCTCATACGTTTGGTGATTCTCAGCTTTGCAATGGTCATCTATCAGGGATGCATTAGATGTTGGAGGTGGTTGCACTAGATTGCCCTTGGGAGTATATCCTAAATCTATAATTATTCAATGATCATATGATACTGGATTCCAAGGAGCTAACTCTGTACTATGTGGAAATTACTCTAACAAGAAGCATGTATGTTTAAATACGAAACCAACAACAAGATATTTGGGTTGGCCACTTCTCAGTTTCAGTTTGGACAGATCCTCTTTTCATTGGTTTACATGCCAGTGCAAGGCATTTTGGGTGGTGGTAGCACCACAATCAGCTACTTCTACTAACATCCATGTAAAACTCTGAGTAACTCCCCTTGGTACTCTGTGGCTGAGCTTCTCTTCAGCAGCCTTTTGTTGTTCAAGATTATTCAACAACCTGCCCAGGTTGGCTAAACTGCATTCACCAACTACATTCATCTGTTGTCAATCACAGCTCTTTCTCCTACTGTGTCTCCTTCAAAATTTGCCCCAGTATTCAAAATGCTTTGCAATTCTCTTATTTTTCTCTCCTCTCTCTCTCTCTCAATATAATCACCATTTTTTTCATGTCAGGAGCGACTTGAAAAACTCCAAGTCACTTCTGGTGTGAGAGAATTGACCATCTGCAAGGACGCTGCCCAGGGGACCACCATAACATAATATATTTATTACAACATATTGCTTGATTTTTGGTTTTTCCCTATTCATAGAGTTCAGAGCCGCCGGTGGTGCAATAGGTTGAACCCTTGTGCCAGCAGGACTGAAGACTGACAGGTCACAGGTTTGAATCCAGGGAGAGCATGGATGAACTCTCTCTGTCAGCTCCGGCTCCCCATGCGGGAACATGAGATAAGCCTCCCACAAGGATGGTAAAACAGCAAAATATCTGGGTATCCCCTGGGCAACATCCTTGCAGATGGCAATTCTCTCACACCAGAAGTGACTTGCAGTTCCTCAAGTTGCTCCTGACATGAAAAAAAAACCCTCTGTGACTGGTAGCTGCATATTTAAACATCACTTCCTATTTATAAAGCTTCTCATAGCATACTTTTCTTCTGATAGAACAGCAGTTTGGTGTAGTAAGTATAGCATTGGGATTGGGATTAAAGGGACTAGGATTCATGGATGAGTCCTGATATTCACAGACTAATTACTCTCTCTTGTTTAGACCTACTGCACAGAGTTGTGGTGGGATTAGGGGGAAGCAGCCACATGTGCCATGTTAAGGCCATTATTGGAAAGGTAAAATACAAGGACAAAAGTGTATTCCTGGCAGCCAATACTATCAGACCAGTGTACTGTAATATCAAAACCCAACCTAGAAGGCATGTAGGAAGGAAAGAGTGATGTGGTTGCTATGCTGGTTGATGGTCATCTACTTAATGTATCATGGACACTGTATATCATTGCAGCTCTTCTTGCACTGCTGGACTTCAACTCCAAGCAGCTCTAAGCAACATAATCAGCGGTGAGGAATGCAGTCCAACAATATTAGGGAGAAGTTATACAATTTCATTCCTGTTACAGATGGACAGAAAAGAGCAGTTTGATGTCCTTTATTTTTTTTAACTGCTTGAAATTATTATGTTATATACTTTACACATTTTTGGTGCTGATTTGGGCATCTGCACATATATTTCCTTCCTCTGAATTAAGATGAAATATATTTTAAAAGTACATGTATTCCAATTGTGTCAAGAGCAATCAGAACTCTTTTCTACCACCAATTCTTGTCTACACTAAGCAGAAGCTCCTCATATATTTGGTGATTCTCAGCTTTTCAACTGCCCATACTTGGATCAGGTCTCATCTATTGAAATGGACTTCAACCTATGTTTTGCATCCTACGCTTTGCAGTCTTCTGCCACATCTCAAATTCCTTCTCAAAACTAATTTCTGGGAATCTTTCCAGTTGTTCTTTTTTTGTAACTGAGTGCATGCTGTACAGTATATGCAAACCACTTGAAGTGGTGTCACATCCTTTCTGTCCAATCCTTGTCACTTCCTTCCTGTCCGGCCTTCCCATTGTCACCATCATCCTCTTTGGTCTCATCAAAAGTCAAGCTAGTTAATGCTGCTGAACAATATATCATAATGTCACTGCATAGGGAGCACAATTCACCAAAAACTTACCCTACTCTGGCATCACTGAGGGAATGACTTGATTGTGTTGTTACCATCTGCTTTGGTGAGGAAAGAGAAGCTCTGCGAATTTGCTTTGGCGAACTTGGCACTTCACTTAGGGGGGAGTCATGGCCCAGAAATGAGAAGGATGTGGAATTTTCTGACGCACAAGGTGTATCATATCTAATTGTACTAAGCTCTGGGGATTTCTTTTCACTGTCCTCATTCAAACGTAATTTTTCTCTTTCTGGAGAACTTTCCCTCTCCTGCACCGAATACTCCTTTGAATCTGATGCAGCAATCTTCATCTCCTTACTCTCCATTTTTGAAGAGTACAGAGAACTGAAGTCTCTACATTCGTCCTCTTTCTTCTCACTCTTCATTATCCTCTTCTCAGGCACATCTTGCTCCTTCCTTGTCCTGGAATATTTGGATGAATATTCTGAGTCCACATCAGAATCGATTGAGAGTCCATATTTTTCAGCCAGCTGGCGTCGTCTCTCTGCTTTGTACCTGGCTATCCTTTCTGCCTTGGACTCGAGTCCCTGGGGATCCATGACTAATGGGCTATAAGAAGGGGGTTTGGTTTTTCCTCCTGCGGATTCTGTTTGGTATCGGGATCTAGGCTGATTCTCTGCTGAAGAATCCGATGTTTCTTCTTCATTTGATCTTCCTGTAACAAAATAGATAAATCAGCAGTGACATAACAAAAAAAAAAATTCACTCATTGAATACAGATTGCTTATTGCATTTCATTCTGGTTTAACACATGATTGATTGCTAAAGACACAGATCTCCAAGTCCTGTTTGCAACGTATTGCCACTTGATCAACGGTTCTTGCTCTGGTTTTCTGAGCTACATTTGCATACAATGAAATTGGATAAGATATATGTTCATGTTCAGCAGATTCGAGGCTTCTATATTCAAGGGGCCGCAGTAGCACAGTGGATTAAACCGCTAGCCGCAGAAAACTTGCTGATCAGAAGGTTGGCTATTTGAAGCCATGGGTCAGGCTGAGCTCCTGCTGTTAGCCCTAGCTTCTGCCAACCTAGCAGTTTGAAAACATGCAATGTGAGTACATCAATAGGTACTGCCTCGGTGGGAACATAAAAGGCATCAATGCAGCCATGCTGGCAAATACGACCAGGAGGGTCTATGGACAACAGGTTCCTTGGCATGGAAAAATAGAACAAGAGGTCCCCATGGCCAGAGTTGAGCATCACCTCCAGACGCTGGAGATGGAAAGGGAAATCTTTGCCTTTGCTTGTGTATTGTATGCCACTGTTGTTAATGTATAAAAGGCATTGAATGTTTTCCTATATTTGTGTATACTGTAATCTGCTTTGAGTCCCCTTGGGGAGATAGAGCGGAATATAAATAAATTATATTATATAATACCTCATTTAGAAACTGCAGAGCTTTTCTGAGTTCCAATTTACCATAGCAGGGTATATGTAAATGAAATTCAGAAACATAGCCATGTTAGCCTGGAATATCAGTGTGCAAAGGGATCTTAAAGCACCTTTGAGACTCATATAACTCAGGGAAAGAAGTTAGTAGCATAAGTTTTCAAAGATTTGTTAGTTTATCCATTTCTTTAGTTGATAGTCTCAAAAGTGGTACAATATCCCTTTGCATATGTTAGCAAAGTGTATTCCTTACCAAAGTGAGGACTATATGGATCGGTTGCACGCATGTATCTTGGTGTATCTTCTTCTAGCAAACGATGGGTAACCAATCCAGGACAGTTTTGCAAAAGGACAGGCTGAGCATCATTTTCAATTCCTTCTAAACGCCTAGCTATCCTTTCTTTCCTGGGAAAGATGAAACAAAAGGTTATTCCAGAAATATTGTGAAAGCAATTAGACGTAGCTTATTTCAATCCAATGCACAGGAATGTGTGGTGTTTGGCCTTCCAGATACAATTCCCATCAGTCAATATTCAGCACCACTAATGGTGAGGGATGATGGGAGTTGCAGTCCAACAACTGGAGGGCTGCACAACACTTTTCCCTATCATACAGGGTCATTTATGCTTTGATAAATATAGAAGAAGATGCAGAATTACCTTTTCATTTCCAAGGTGTCCGGCCTGTTTGGTTCAAAGAGTTTTCTTAATTCAGAAACTAAAACAAAATAACACACACACAATTAGGAGTATGAAATTATGCATTTTGCCAAGAGGCAACTAGATTCCTACAATTAGCAAACTTTAAGCCAGCCAACAATGAAAAGAAAAGATAGTAACATCTGTGCCAGATGAATGTTCATGAGAAGAGCATTTTACACTACATAAAAGGTCATGCCCACAGTTGCCACATATTTGCTACTGCCAAAGATTGTGCCTCCGAGCCAAATCCTGGGCCACTGGAATTAGGGGAATAGCTACTTGGAAAGAATGATAAAAGGAGATCCAATTTTTGGATTTTTAAAGGAACGCTGCAGTGCTCTGCCAGACAAAGATCAGAGCCAAGGCCAAATCTGGCAACCAGGAGAAAAACTGAACTCATAACCGCTGGGGTAGGGATCAAGCCTAAAGGTTGGGCTGGGACCTAATGTAGAATCTGGCAAATTGAGGCATATGCTGAGAAGGCGTTTGCTTTTTATGATCTTTTCACAGCTCAGCCCTGGTTATTTGACAGAACAGTTTTACTGCTTGGATCACTACAACACTGGAAACCCTTAAGCTAACTCACAATTGTATAGGTTTTGAAGAAGACCTCTGGGTATATATGCAGTCATTTCCCTTTACATAACTAATTCTAGTTACATTTTTAAGAGGCAAGGGCCTATGTTACAAGAGGTAACACCCATACATAAGCCAATGATTATTTAGGTGTAGGCTCAGAACATAAACTCCTCTGTTTTATTGCTGTCAATGGAGTCATCATCATACCTCATACAAAATAATAGCCAACATGTCTTTTTTAAAAACCTGACCTACATTCACCACTTCATTGATACAAAGTCTTTATTTTTTTTAAGCATGTGACCACAGTGAAACCAAGATCTGTGGTTATTCTTATTTCTATGGACTTTGTTTGGGATGTGTTACCCATGAAAATTATGATGAGAGTTTACTCATTTCAGTTTAGCGTGGTAATCTTTTTTTAGGAGGAAGTGAACATAAATAACTCCACAGTGTTCTCTGTTTGGCATATTTGTGCTGGACCTTTGATTGCATCAGCACACCATTTAATATATTTGCATTTCTATTTTTATCCATGAAAGGTTCTATAAAAATGGAACCTTACCAGAAATTGAGCAGCTGTTATTACTGTACCTACACAATGCATTTTTAAAAACATGACACTAGTATTCCCTAATAGTTATGAGTGCAATTTTATTGCATTCTAGTTGTTGTTTTTGTTTGTTTATGTGTTTTACTTTATTATAATTGATACTGTGTTTCATTTTATGCTATGTTTTTAGGCACTTTGGTTCTGTGTGTAAGCCGCCCCGAGTCCCTTCAGGGAGATGGTGGCGGGATACAAGAATAAAGTTGTTGTTTTTATATTTGAAAAGGTTTTAATATTTAATATGTAGTTCTATTGCGACTGAGTTGTAATTGGGGAAGGGGGGGGGGGAGAATGAGGGTGATGCACCTCCAAATAAGAATTCTGCACCWGACACCAGAGTAATTTTTCCTTCAACCTCCAAATTTCTAGCATTGCAGAGGAACACATCATTTACTCTTATATTTGCTATGTCTGCATTCCCTTTTGCCTGTCCGTTTTCTTTGGGTGTTTAAATTCTATTTCCAAATGCTCAAATAAAGGTTTTAGTTGCTAGAAATCCCAGAATAATAATAATAATAATAATAATAATAATAATAATTATTATTATTATTATTATTATTATTATCTTGGTTTATATCCCATCCTCTCTCCCTGAGGGGACTCAGGGCAGTTAACAACAAGTATAGGCAAACCTTCAATGGTGAAAACACTGGACCAGGACAAGTAACTCACCTCACCAGACCCAAAACATACCCACATCTACATCAAAAGTAATAACGCATTATCAAAAATTAAATAATAACATAACAAAAATACGATTTCACAAATTTCGTTACAAGAACTTGGGGAGGGGGGTAGAATTCTTATTTGGATGTAAATACTTAGGAGAGGGGCAATGCTTTACTTATGTTTCCTGCAGCGACACCTTTGAGGAGTACTCTTCTTATTAATGGTCTCAAATACAAGCCAAGTTGCTTTATATCCCAATACACCAAGATATTCACAGTTGTATAAATTAATGATGGAAGGTATTTATCCTGGCCATTAGCCTGATCAGAGGTAAAAAAATCAGCAACACCAATTTTAACCGCAGGAATCGGACAACTGCAATTTGGTACTATTAGCTTGAAAGGATTCTGTTGTAGTGTTGCAGAACTAAATAAAAGCAATGGCCTTATGGCGTATCTCCCCAACACCTTCCTAAGCCAGAATGTGACAAAAATAGTGCAGGCCTTGCCTGTGCAGCTTGACACTGTTTCCACACTTGAGATTCCAGACAGTCGTATCAGTTACAGAGGTTAATATGACCGGAGACTCTCCTAAAGCAACGTTGTCTTTGCTTTCCTTTAAACTGAGACAGGTAACTTGCTATCATATCATGTCCAGGAACTCCTCTACATGCCACATACAAGTAACTTCAACGATACTGGATTCAATCTGAAGTTCTCCCACCCTTGTTTCAGGTCAGGTTGCACAGCACTGTGTGTATCTACATTAAATGTATCTACATTGTAAAACTAATGCATTTTGACACCACTTTAACTGCCATGGTGTAATGCTATGGAATTGTGGGAGTTTGGTGAGGCACCAGCACTCTTTGGTCGAGAAAGCTAAAGATAGTATAAAACCAAAAGTCCTTGATTCCATAGCACTGACTACTTGTGTCAGACTCCATTAATTCTACAGTGTAGACACACCCTTGCAAGAAAAGATATATGTATCTTAGAGCCCTATATCCCAGGATCTGATCCCAGGTTTTCTGCTTTAAACTGGATTATATAAGTCCACATTGCCAGATAACCTGGGATAAACAAAAACATGAGATCAGATCCTGGGATATAGGGGCACATGAACTTTAAAATGTATTTTTATTTAAAGTAAGCATTTTGGAAAATTATTTGTGATTTGAGGACTGTATGTTTGTGATTACTGTTGAAAGTTAAGTATTTTGAATTACGGACATTTAGTTATGCATAATTTGAAAACAAAAGAAGAGGAAAACCTACCACTTGTGATTTCTTCCTAATGATGGGAAACAAAGAGCTACGCTGACATTTTTATTAATTGTCTTGTTGATTCATATTTGTTGACGTTTAAAGGTATTTGGTTCCCTAAGACACTAGTAAATCCATGAAAAGCATGGTCAATTATAACATGCTTTCCCCATACATCCTGTAACCTATATGTTATCAGTTCAAACCACCTGCACCTCATTTCACAATCCCATGGAGAGGTATTTAATTTCACACAGACATGCTGGGTCGCTCTGAACATCAGCATACACTTTTGACCATCAAGAGCACAACTGAACTACAATATGTTATCCTAACACAGCTGCAAAATTCAGAACATTCACAAGAAATAGAAAACATTTTAAAGATAGTTGAACCACTATGTGTTTCTACCAGTTTTGCTGATGACGAACAACCCCTTGCCTTTTTAAAAGTGTGCATGTTAAGCAAAAATGCCATAGAATATATTTTAGAAGGCTGCTCGGTGTATCAAAACTGAGTTATTCGGCAATAAATTCCACAAGAGATAATTTGAGTTTTCAAAGGTGTCTGTTCAAAGTGAATTCACTTCAGGCAGCAGATATGATGAAATGAAAGATGAAATGTATATATGCTAGCAGCATCCTAGACCTAGATACAAATGAAATGGAGAAGGAGAAGAAAAAGAAGAGGAGGAGGAAATCGATTTTGTCTGTACTTTGGGCCTGCCACATAGCTTTGAATTTCAGGAATGAACAGTCTCTCTATGATATGAAAAAATACTCTTCCATCAGGGAACAACTCCTTAATCCAGGAAAAAGACTTAAAGTCACGTGACAATACTATGGGACTGATTTTAAGAATAGTATATTTAAAGCCTTTCGTAGTTCTTTCCACAAGGGGAAACCAAAGGCATAACTAAATTGATGCCTTGAGAATTCCACCTCGTTATAAAAGAACATCTAATTCTCACAACAATTTTGTGGAAACAAGCCTACCCTTTTGCAACAAGCATCACACTGCCTGTAACTATTCTTGAAGCTATGGGAAGATTGATGACACTGGTAAGTTACAGATTAAAGAGAGACTGAGGGAAGTACTATTAGAAAGCACTGGGATAGATGGCTAAACCTAAGGGAAAGGACAATCCAACCAGTGGTTCTCAACCTTCCTAATGCCACGACCCCTTAATACAGTTCCTCATGTTGTTGGTGACGCCCAACCATAAAATTATTTTTGCTGATACTTCATAACTATAATTTTGCTGCTGTTATGAGTACTTATGATTGCTGATTTTTCTATGTGCAGCTTGACTTATAAAAGCCATTTGGAGAAGAACTTTTTAAAAGTAATTCATTATGAAAGTCTCTTCCATAAAATCTTTTGAAAATCTTAACTCATTCAAAAAATTATCTTATGAATTTTCTATCTTTAAAAATGATATTATAAAAGTGTTGATAAGTAATATATACCTATGACAGGTTTCTAATGTGACAATATAATCTCCCATATGTTTGAAATATTCAGTAGACCCTATCTATCTATCTATCTATCTATCATCTATCTATCTAATGTTCACAAGCAATTTTGCACTTAACTTACCTTTGGGAAGCACTGCTAAAAGGCTGGCATCGATATCCTTTGTGCTGTTTGCAAGCTCTTCTTTGTCTTCAAATGAAAACTCTTTCTGAAAACTGAAAACAATCACCTTCTTTTAATAAAACTATGAAAGATTCAATTACCAATCAAGTCATACTAAAACATATAGTTTTCACTGTTAAAACATGAATGACACAGATAATTAACACCTGGAGAAGTCATAGGATTTAGACTGAACCATCAATGTTTAATGTTTTGTTTTACTTTCCTTTGGTCCTTGACTTTTTGACATAGAACAGAGAACAGCTTTCTCACAAATTATCCTTGATTTTAAGGACAAAATTTTTACAATATTCTAGTTCACAACCTGTAGGAGCTGTTGGATTATAACAACCATCAGCCTTGGCTCCATCACAAATTGAGTGCCTGGAGTTGTACTCAAAGAACACCTGGAGAGCCACACTCTCCCACATCTTTCTAGATCTTAGGCACTGTCCTTTTATACTGTCAAAAATTCTCTAGCAATTTATCAATCCTTGTAATATTCCGAAGTGAAGTGAATATGTGTTTCCAAAAGACCTGGAAAAAATTACTTTTTCATATTGTACCTTCCAAATGCCGTAGCTAGCATGATCAGTGCTGGCTGGGGAGTTATATTCAAAGCTCTGCTTTTGGGTATGTGTGTGTATATATTTGAGCTTTCAGGTCACCAGTTAACTTATGAATTTCATAGGGTTTTCTTGGGCAAGGAATACTCATTTTGCTAGTTGCTTCCTCTTAAATATAACTGATAGCAACTAGCATTAACCAGTTGTCTATCATCCTAACCAGGGCTGACTCTTCATATCTTGCAAGATCAGATGCGATCTGGTGCTTTAGGATATTTAGGCATAGCCATTGACACCTAAAAACCTCATAGATTACTATTGGCAGGAATCTACTGTTCTGAAAGCTTCATGGTCCATTTGTTTTTGGGCAACATTCAAATTGGGATATGAGTAGAATTTTCAATTGGGATACAAGTAGAATTTACACCTGCTATAAGAACTGCCTGTTATCAACTGCTGTTAGGGCCTTTCTCTAAGTCCCTCTGCTGCCACAAGTTGCTCAAGTGGTCACTAGAAATAGGATCTTGTCTACTGTGGCCCTAATGTCACACCTACACATAATCCATAAAAAGCAATGCAGTGTCCAACTCTCATATGATAACACCCAGATTTTTTTTTGAATATAGATATCTGGATGGAACAAATGGAACCATATTTTACAAACTTGAGTACACAGTGGGCCCTTGGTATCTTCAGGTATGTAGTTCCTTGAACCTTCCATGGATTCCACAATTCATGGACTTTCAAGTCCCATTATATACAATAGCCACCTCTCCACCAAAGTCAACATCGACACCGAAATACAACACCGCCTGAGCTTTGCAAGCGCAGCATTTTTCCGAATGAAGCAGAGAGTGTTTGAGAGTATCCGCAGGGATACCAAGGTGCTTGTTTATAAAGCTATTGTCCTCTCAACCCTGCTATATGCCTGCAAAATGTGGACTGTCTACAGATGTCACATGCAACTTCTGGAACAATTCCATCAGCGCTGCCTCCGGAAAATCCTGCAAATTTCTTGGGACGACAGGTGGACAAACGTCAGCGTGCTGGAAGAAGCAAAGATCACCAGCATCGAAGCAATGGTCCTCCGCCATCAACTCTTCTGGATCGGCCACATTGTCCGGATGCCCGACCACCATCTCCCAAAGCAGTTGCTCTACTCTGAACTCAGGAATGGAAAATGGAATGTTGGTGGACAAGAAAAGAGATTTAAAGATGGGCTCAAAGCCAACCTTAAAAACTCTGGCATAGACACTGAGAACTGGGAAGCCCTGGCCCTTGAGCGCTCCAGCTAGAGGTCAGCTGTGACCCGCAGTGCTGCAGAATTTGAAGAGGCACGAATGGAGGGCAAAAGAGAGAAACGTGCTAAGAGGAAGGCGCGTCAAGCCAACTCTGACCGAGACCGCCTTCCACCTGGAAACCAATGCCCTCACTGTGGGAGAAGATGCAGATCAGGAATAGGACTCCACAGTCACCCATGGACCCACCAGAACACTGATCCTGGAAGACTATCCTACTCGGCCAACGAGGGAATATTTTCAATCAGTGGATTTGGAGAGACGACTGTTATGACCTAAAGTGGCCTTGGCTAACCTGGTGTCACACAGCGATATTGGCCCAGCTTTTCCACAAAACATCTAGCTTCCTAGAACCATATGTATTGCAATGCCTAGCTTGCTAGTTTGACATATTGCTGCAAAAGGTTTAGAGTAAACTCTGATTCTAAGGAGACCTGTGCTGATTAAATTGAAAATTAATCCAAATTAGATTTTTAGAAGTCGTGTGATTAGGAGGTTACTCTATTTTTAAAGCTGTATTATGCTCTCGACTTGGAGATTGATCCTGATTAAATATTGGAGCCAGGTTTTCATTCAAGAGGCTGTCTATCATGAAAGCACTATGAAGTCTTCAGTAATGCACAGCGGGGAGGAATGTGCATTTGAATTATAACACAGTGGATTCGGAAACACAGTCCAGGACTTTTAATAGTATAGGATTTATACTTTATGATTATCATTCTCTCCATTTAGGGGATACTGCCTCTGTTTTATGTCTGTCATTTTTATGCTTATGCTAAGAATGTTATGCTTTTGCATGAAGTTACATAAATATTTAAAAATTAATCTTAAAACCAGGAGGCTTGGCAACAGAATATGCTGTATCTGATGAGCTAGAGATGGGATACCAATTGCCTCTAGACAAATTCACTTAGAAAGTTCACATTTTACTATTCAGAGTCCAACTGAATTTCTAAGTAATGTTTCTTTTCAACCCAATTATTTGTGGTAGATCTGCAAGTTTGAATTTCTTCATAATTCTTGTATTTTTTTTCTCTCTCCTGCCTGTCATGAACTAGAAAGGCAATGATACAACTTTTCCTCTCTGGCAAATCCTTTGGATACTTCACAGCAGCCAGAAGAACAAAGCACACATATTTCCAACATCTCAGCTGGAAACTATCTTGTGATTACAGTTGATGAAAATTATTTTAAGAGTCCATGAGTTCAAATTTTACCTGTTCATTTATTGGGGTGGAGGGAGGTATCCTACAAATATTTCTATGGCACTTTAAGAAACTGGAAACCCTATTTCTATACACCTTAATTTTATAGGCATTTTGCAAATACCAAACTGTGAAGTGTTCTGACCGATCACCTCTTAAACAGCTAATAATAATTTGGGGCAATGAGACAAGGTTTAAAGATGAAAAACATCCATCTTGAAGACTGCTCTCTGCTGTGGTGACATGCCGTCTTTTAATATCTGTCCTATTAACCTAATTACCATTCCCAGCAGTCAAAACTCCAAGGAAAAATGCATTTTTATTATGGTTTATTGTACTCATCAGATAAAGAGGTCAGCACACTGAACTCCTAAATGGAGAGGTAACAAAAATGAATCAGTCATTGAATTAGGCCAGGAAGAAAGAGAAACACACATACTCTTTACCATCACATACACAAAAACTTAATTTCAGTACTCTAAGTGTCACTTCCTAGAATAACATTGGTATATTGTTATAAGGCATAAGATGCTCCAAGCAGTTATGCTGTTCACCTGATTAGGAGATGATGATGCAGGCTTGGAAATGGAGAACAGTGCCTCCCCCAGAGCCAGAGATGAGCACCGCCTCCAAAGCCGGAAAAGAAAGGAGAAGCCTTTGCCTTTGTTTGTGTTTATGTGTCTTAACCCCCAGAGTCGGACACGGCTGGACTTAATGTCAGGGAAAAACCTTTATCTTTACGATGTGTCTCATTGCATTGAATGTTTGCTGGTATCTGTTTACACTATAATCTGCTCTCAGTCCCCAACAGGGAGAAGGGCAGAATATAAATAAATTATTATTATTATTATTATTATTATTATTATTATTATTATATTGGTCTCTTTGGCAGTAATATTGTCAAATCCGACTAGCATTGTCTCTCCAGAGTTTCAGACAGTTTCAAGGTCTCCCATCCAGCTACTAGCCAGCCTGTTCCTGCTTAGCTTTTGAAATCAAATGGGATGGAGTATATTTAGCATGGTATGGTGGCCTTTTAGCCAAATGGCACCTTAAACAACCAACAGAGAAGTATCATAGATTTGTGGGAGCCTGGAGATGTGTACAAGTAGGCAATTTTTAAATAATACTCACAAGGAGGAGAAGGAACAAATATTAATTGGCTACCCATGATTAGCAGCTAAAATGGCTATAGACTACAAAATCCCACCAATCTCAGATCAGTTAAGTGAACTTTGGGGCATGACTATAATGGAAAAATAACAGGAGCCCATCAGAGAATCTGGAAATATTTAGATAGACAATTCTTTTTGTAAAAACTTATATCATTTGATTGATTGCTGCAGTGAGGATAGTGATGCTTGCTAGTGTCCACAACTAGGGGTGCATCTACATTGTAGAATTAAGGTAGTTTGACACCACTTATATGACTCAATCCTATGGAATCCTGGGAGTTGTAGTTTTACAAGACTTTTAGCCTTCCCTGTCGAAGAATGTTGGTGCCTCGCTAAATTACAATTCCCAGGATTCCGTAGCATTGAACCAGGGCAGTTAAAGTGATGTCGAATTGCATTACTTCTACAACATAGACACATGATAACTCTGATAACACATTTTATTTTGATAAACCATATGTGTTGTAATGTGATAAGCATCTCAATTTTTCTTAAAGTTTCTCCTTACATTCTGGGGTTACTTTAACTTTTGTCTTTTTGTGACCTTAACTAAATTTTAAAAGGCTTGTGGAAGGAGGGAAAGAGAGAAGAACTGTTATGGATATTTTGTAGAATTCAAGGTTCATATACAAAAACAATGCCACTGTATAAATAATACAGAGGAATAATGTATATTGATTTTTTTTTTGCTGCAGTAGACTAAATATTGTGGCATATTGAATTATTATAGCATAAGATCTGGAGGACATAGGTCATTGTTTCAAAGCATCAAAGCATTTTTGCAATTTTTAGCCCTTTGGCTCCAAGTGAAGATAATCCTTGATGCATTTGACTGCATGGACTTCGCTCCATGAAATAAATATAAAGACAACAAAGATTAAGTCAATAGCTTGTATACATTACCTTAGTGTCCTCCTTCGTTGGAGTAACCTTGGAGTTTTATACCTGACCAAATTTTCTTTGTCAAAATCTGTAACAGAGAAAGAGAGGGAATTATTAAGACCACACACACACACACACACGGTTTAAAGTGTACAAACATTTTGTGCTTCAGTAATAGAAGGTTTATTCGTGAACCTAACAATGCCCATTACACTCCAATGATGGAAATATGTCTATCCTTAAAACAGACAATTCTGGGAATAAGGGCAGAAGAAGGAAGGAACAGAAACTATGGGCTCTGAGAATCCTTCCTTAACATGAAGTTCTCCAGATATGTTGGACTAGCATTCCCATACCTATAGCTTAACACACCTGAAGGTCCTGAATTGAGGAAGGCTACAGAAAGCTAGGAGCTGAGAGCATCAACATCTTAATGTAGGTCATTAAGGTCCTCAGTGCAAGGCATAAATTGTTGAGTTTCACATTATTTCTCCAAAAGTATTATCTTTCACACCAAGAATGTTTTTGTTTCAGACTTCTCTCATTTGAATCCTCTCCCTTCAACAAGAATCCATTCCCCACCGAATACAATTAGTAAATAAGTAATATATTCTATGAATAGCTATGAATCAGAGCACGTTAGAAATAAATGTAATTGAATAGGCACCTCAATTTGCAGAATTACAACTCAAGGTCTAAGAAAGATCATGAAAACCTAACCATTTTTCATCTTCCAGCAGCTGGAAATCACCGCTAAAGACTAAATATCAATGGACCTCCAAGCAAGTATCCTATAACCCTCCCTGAGAACAAAACCCAAACCACAAATTGGGAACAGACCAACTAATCCTATGTACATACTGTCCATCACTTTCAGGAATCTAGTATATTTATAGACAACTTGGTACCCTCCTTGTATTCTGAACTGTAGTTCCCAGACTATTGCAAAATGCAAATATGGCTAATGGTATGGGGATTATTGTCCAAAACATCTGGAGGTTGCTTTAACAGAATCTTGGCAATATCTCTGCTTACTCTCTATAAGTGGCTACAACAGACTACAACCTAACGACACAACTGTTCTGGGTATATCAGTACTCCCCACAGGAAATATGGAAAGCATTAACAGATGTTTTTAAAGAGATGACATGGGATGTTTGACCCAAAGCCCCCTGCTATGTGCACTTAAAAGACTGAGACATATCTATAGCATTTATAGTTCACATCTGCAACAAACTGGTATCCAACAGTGGTGCGCCTAAAGACATAACTGTCTTTCATTTAAACTGGGGAGTGTCTCTAAGCTGGAAATGAAGAAACCACTATGAGAGGGAAGGCATATCAGATTGCATGGGAATTTACAACAGGTCCCTATGAGGATACCTATGTCAACCTCAAAATTATCTATGAATACTCCATGACCTAGGCTGGATCATCAAAGCTGCTACAAAATGTACTGAATAAGGACTTTGGAGCCCTAACAAAGTCTCCCATGGTGAAGGTAAAGTCAATGCAATAGATAATTGTATGGAGAACATGAGAGAAAACAGAAATATAGGCTAAGTCAGCAATTTATGCACCAACAGTCAATTCAAAAAAACTAAACTGAGCAACATTTGCTTTGGGTTTGCTTTCTGTAACCATACCACCCATGGGAAGTATCTTAGATATTCTCAAATATCATAAATGGAAGAAATAGAAATGTTGGGTTGCTGTGAGTTTTCCGGGCTGTATGGCCATGTTCCAGGAGCATTCTCTCCTGATGTTTCAATGCTAATCAAGGCGGCCAATTGCAACATTCACACCTGCTTCAAGCAGACAAGAGTTCTTTCTTCCACCTTGGACATTCCAAAGATATATAAACCTCACTTGCTTAGTTTCCAACAGACCTCAACCTCTGAGGATGCCTGCCATAGATGCAGATGAAACATCTGGAAATAATGCTTCTGGAACATGGCCATACAGCCCAGAAAACTCACAGCAACCCAGTGATTCTGGCCATGAAACCCTTTGACAACACAATAGAAATATTATTTGTAAAATTTGAATAAATCAACAAAGATGTATTATCCTTTGTATTTCTTTTCTCCCATTCTATCCCATATCCCAATGAAGCTATCTTTTACAACAGGAACACAGAAAGATTGGAAGACAAATAAGTAGTCATTAAAATACTGGTTTGGATTAATTAGAATAGACAGTAATAATCTAGTCAAGAAGTAAACATAATTTTCCAGATTGGAAAGAAACATTATGGTTTTTTCACCCCTGAGTCCTCCTTGCAAAAATTCTGGCTTTCTTATTCTTATTGTTCAGAGTAACAAAATGGAAAAGCAAATTAAACAAAAACAAATAGAAATCCAGTGTGCAAGCCAAGAACTATGTCAAATTATTTACCATTAACACTCTGTTTGAAAGTTGAAACATAGTAATCTTATGAAAATAGAACAAAAAAGATAAAAAAGAGCAAATATGTACTATTGAAAAGAGCAGCTGTTAATAATTCTCTAACAGTATATATGAGTTGAGGTTAGATTAAAGTCAGGCATGCATAAAAATTTATAGTAATTCTAAATTGTGTATAACCCAACACAGCTTTTGGCATGGAAACCTTTCTCCACCATAAAACCTCAAACAGGCCATCGAGAAGGCCAAAACAGGAGAGGCTCACAGTAAGGGTGGGAAGATATTATGGTACAAGCCTCCATTACTCATGAAGTACCAACCCATATTGTAAAGCCTGCAATGAACAGAGCATCTTAAACATTGGCGCACACAATTGCAGGGGAATACTTTCTACAGCAAATTCCAAAAGGCTTCAACACCTTCAGTCCTTTGCAAACTTCTAACTGGAGATCTTAGCAACAGTCCACATTTTTGTCAGAATATATTAAAAGTTTTCAGGAGGTGAAAAGACACCACTGCTGAAATCTCAGCACTTAAATTACATAAAGATGTTCCATGGAGTTTAAAGCATTTCTCTCTTCTGAGCTGTCTCATGATGGATGGCTGCTATTTTGGGGGCGAATCCAAAAGAGCGAGTCCAGCAATCTCTCCGGTAGTTTTGTATATTAGTTTTTTTGTTACTTGAACTGTGACAGCACTACAAGTACGTTAATAAAACCCCTTATTGGAAAGCTATCCACATATTCATGCACACATTTCTATGTCGATTTATTAAAAGGTAATAAAAGGGTTCCTTGCTGCCAAGTTTCAACTGTTCATTATGTCACCACTCATATTTTTTAAAGCTGGGAATCATGCCTTTCCTTAACATATGCACGCTATAAGCATCACTTTTTTTTTCAAAGCCCACCCGGTAATGGCTACTCAGTATCTGCAAGGCCTTAATTCAACTGCTCGCTAAGCTAATTAGAAGATTCATCTAATCGGATTTTTTCAAAGAGCGTCCTTTGAGGAAACAATAAGACTAGAAGCCAAACTGAATGCAAATAAATAAAGTGGCAATTTTGTTTTAAGACAGAAAGCGAGGAATTCCCTGACAAATAAACTGTCTCAATTTAGATTACAAAGCAAGTTAAAACCAATTACATTATTTGCAAAGTGCAGGCGACTCTTACCTTGCTCTTCAGAGTATCTGGCATTTCGCAAATAGCTGGATATCCACGGATTCCGGAACATGATTGCACAAAAGAAAGGGACTCGGCAAAGGAGAAAAACTACAATAGCAGCTAATTCTCAGGCAGCCCCAGCCCTAGGCCCGTCTTTGCAATATTGTGTAGAGATTTTTCATAGCACAGGGATGGAGCTGTCAAGCTATCACGTCCTAGGGAGTACAGTAAATGCATAGCAATAGGCTGCAAACTGGAGCAGCTCAAGACAGTAATCAGATTACAAGAAGAAATTAGGCACATGAATGCTAAAACAGATTGGACAATGGTGACTGGGAGAGTCACAACATTACCACTTCAAAGTGGCTAGTCAAATGACTGTTTATATATCATGGCAATTAAATAACCTAAAGCCTTTTTTCCTAATGGGTGGGGGAGAGGTAAAACGTGTTCTCCATAAAGGAAGGATAAATCTGATATATCTAAACAAGAGTATATTGCACTGATAGTTTAAAAAGGAAGCATCAGCAGGCAATCAGTTTACTCTTTAGAAGGACGGATGCTGGTAATTATATTCATTATGCTAAGTACTAGACCCACTAGAGAGCAGACCAATAGAAACTTATTGAAATAGCGTGACATATAAGAAAAAATGCTTTATCCTTGACAGGTGAGGAGGAGGATATACAGGCATATACTCAATACTGGCAACACGAATAAAATTCCACTTTAGAGGCATCCTGTTTTCTTTAAAAATTGCAAGACTTTAGAAAAGCTGCTCAACAATTGGGTGATTTGGGGGTCTCTCATTCACCAAAAGTAGAAGCTGACCTGATAGCAATTAATAGCCAGAGATACAAAGACACATCATACTGACGATCCATCGCTTAAACTGTATTTTCAACACAACTTTGGAAGGATTTTTCAAACAAGGTTTCAGAGTTCATTACAGTCAGCAATGTCATATCCCTCTCTCCTCAATTGTTTTTAGGAAAAAAGGCTAGAAATGTTTTCTTCTCCAATAGATGTTGCATGCTTTGTTATTTTTAAGGATCAGCTGTTTATTGCAGAGACCACAGACCTTCTCAGCCACTGCAACCAAAGTGTGATATTCTTTTCACTGGAATCTAGGCTTGCATCGCTTTTAACAGCATTTCTTATATTCCAAATACATTATTGTTCAGGCAGATATTTGTTTTATGAAATGGATATGGTTTATCCAGTGTGTTTACTAACCTGTTGCATTGCTCTGTTTCTATTATACCACAGTTGCTGTTTATTTATTTATTTACCGGATTTATATCCTGCCTTTCTCAGCCCCGAAGGGGACTCAAGGAGGCCTACATATAGGCAATTATTCAGTGCCTTCGAGCAACATGCAATTCCAATAAACATTAAAATTAAAATTAATATATATTAAACTTTAAAAAATATTACATTTGATATTAAAACCACACCAACCATAACCATGGTCCAAGGCTGTTCCATAGTCATTGCACTGCACTATTCTCCAAAG